GACAGAATCACTGCCGTATTCTACATCAACAAACAGGGCGGGACAAGGTCACCTGCTCTGGCTCGTCTCTCGATGGAAATTGGGGACTGGTGTATACCGAGGGAAATAATGCTGTTGGCAGTTCACCTGGCAGGAACCGACAACGAAGCCGATATACTCAGCAGACAGATGTCAACAACTCACGAGTGGAAGTTGGACCGACGCCTTAGCGAGCAGCTCTTCCATCTGTGGGGATACCCAGACATAGACTTGTTCGCTACCCAGGAGAACAGGGTTTGCGAACTGTTTTGCTCCAGGGTGCGCATCGGACTGGGGTCAGCAGGAGATGCCTCATGATCCCATGGAACAACATGACTTTTTACACTTTTCCCCCAATTCCACTTTTGACAAGAGTTGTCTCGAAGATAGCCCAAGACAACGCTACAGGGATTCTAATAACTCTGTGGTGGCCATGGCAACCGTGGTTCACCACTCTTCTCCGACTGTCAGACGGCATATTTCTTCGTCTCCCAGTAATTCCTCATCTGTTAACAGAACGGGGTGATCTGACACCCGGACTTGACTTCTCTAAAACTGACAGCTTGGCGCATCTGCTGATTTTCAGTACTGACTCGGTACCGACAACATCCCAAGCATCGGTGAACCCAGCTCACGGAACAGTACACCTCTGTCCCTCCTCAGGACCGACAGGAATTGCTTCAGGACTGACTGTTCTGGATCCAGACATTCAATCAATTCTTGAATCTGCTCTAATCTAAGACCATCAACGCGTCGATCTTGTGCGGCAAAATGGACTAGATTCTCATCTTTTGCTGAATGCCTTTCCTTTACTCCTGGACTGGCTTCCGGTGAGAACATTCTACAATTTCTTTTGGAATTGCATCATTCGGGACTTAAACCGTCATCTATAAAAGTTTACGTGGCCGCCATATCGCATTGCTGCAGTACTATACAAGGCTCATCTGTTTTTTCACAACCTATGGTCAGACGTTTCATCAAGGGACTGCAAAACCTTCACCCTTCCATTCGTCCTGTTATGCCGACATGGAGTCTTTCCGTAGTACTGCAAGCGCGTACTAGACCCCCGTTTGAGCCTCTGGTGACGACTGATTTACGCCTAGTTTCTTGGAAGACTGCCTTTCTTGTAGCTGTCATGTCAGCCCAAAGAGCCAGTGAACTTTTTGCTCTTTGAATAGATCTACCATACTTAAACTTTCATAAGGAAAAGGTCATTCTTCGAATGGATTCGACATTCTTACCTAAAGTTGCTACACCATTCCATAAGAATCAGAAGATTGTTTTACAATCGAATCCGATTGAAAGATCCCTTCACACTCTCTATGTTTGACGCCGTTTGGCATTTTACAGATCTCGTACTGAGTCCTTTAGTCCTTTAGATGTTCTAAAATAGACTCTTCGTAAAGTATTCTGAACACGACACAGACTCTCCAGTCATGTCACAAAGACTGTCAAAATGGATTGTCTAGACTATCGTGCTGGCATATCAGTTAGCAAAGATCGACTTACCTGTCTCTCCGAGGGGTCATTCTATGCGAGCAGCAGCGGCTCCATCTGCCTTCACCGCGGGAGTTCCGATTCAAGATATCTGCAGAGGTGCAACTTGGGCTGCTCCGTGCACTTTCACCAAGCATTATCGGCTTGATATACGTGCCAGACAGGATTGCTCCTTTGGCAGAGCAGTTCTCTCAGCTGTTCTTCGCTAACGACACCTCCCTCCTCCGAGTCTGGTAAGCTTGCTAATCACCCATATGTGTGAGGCACAGAGGCCACGACGAAGAAAAGCAGGTTGCTTACCTGTAACTGATGTTCTTCAAGTGGCCATCTGTGCATTCACACAACCCACCTGCCAGTCCCGCTCAGTGTCGGAGAGTGGCTGTCTTCATCGGTACCATACTTTAATATTCATGGTACCGAGTACACTTGCTATGATGTATATTTTTCGCCCACAAGGGGGCGAACGATCGATCTTCAAGACTGAGAAAATGGCGGACACTCCACCCTATATATACTATGGAGGGGGAGGGGAGCGGAGTTTTCCCGCCAAAAACCGTTAGCTTTCTAATCTTCCAACCTAGGCACTGCGCAGGCGCAGCACCCATACGTGTGAATGCACAGATGGCCACTCGAAGACTATCAGTTACAGGTAAGCAACCTGCTTCTGTTAGGAATACAGCTGAAATTGTGGGCAAGATCTCCAGATTTTATCTCATCTCATTACTTCAATATCAAGCTGGAACAGGGAAAAAAATACTGACCTTCAATGAAAAAAGTATCACAACAATCTGAGAACTTCAGGGGTTTTTGAAAAGTCCAAACTTACCCTGGTTTTTACCTTAATGTGTGCTTTTGACATGTAGCTTATGCATTATCACTGAAGCATGCTGCATTTTTATCTTTTACCAGTCTTTCATATTTTGTTTCTTTTTGACTTTGTCAGTGGTTTCTTGTCAATACCATCTATGCATAAGAGAAGACCTCAGGGGAATCTCAATATAGGCAGGAGTAAAGAAAAAAAAAGGGGGGGGGAAGCATTTCAGTGGAAACCTCTACCCTCTAACCCCCACAAAAATAGGCCAACAGGAAATGGACTTGTTTATTAGGCCCATGATGTTGATAGACTGTTGTGGGCAGTGGGTCAGAAGCAAAGTGGAAGGGAAATAGTGTGGAGTGGCTCTAAAAATGAGCAGAAGCACTCCATACTGAAACCAAAGTTAATTTGGGTGCAATTTATGACGTTTGTTTGTTTGTTTGTTTGTTTATAACTTTTGTAGACCATCCCATTAGTCTCAGGATGGTTTAACAATACAAAATGTTTGAAAAGGGGAAAAAATTAAAATTAAAACTCAGCGTCCTAAAATTTAGCAATCATAAAACCCCCATTAAAACAGTCAGGTCTTAAAACATTGGGAAAATAAAAAGGGTTTGGCCTGGTGCTGAAAAGAATAAAGTGCCAGTGCCAGGCAAACCTCTCCGGGGAGCGAATTCCACAATTGGGGTGCCACCACAGAGAAGGCCCTTCTCCGGGTAGTCACCCTCCAGTGATGACATTGCAAATGCCATCACTGATTATAGGACATGAGAGCCAGTGTGGTATAGTGGTGAAGAGTACAGGACTGGCAGTGAGGAGATTTGGGTTCTAGTCCCCCCTCAGCCATGGAGCACACTGTGAGAAGACCAATTGGTTGACAAGTGTGTGCAGAAAAGGCATGCGTGCTTTCCCTGTGCTCCTCCCTGAGGGTTGTGTCACAGGCAATGCTCATAAGGAGAGTTTTGATAAGTGACCACTAGGTTGGGCTCAAGAAACCACTTTGTGCATGCTCAGAGACGTGACTGAGTGATTTACGTGTATAAACAACGAGGAGTTTTGCTAAGAACAGCTTGTGGCTGGTGATGGTTGGAGAGAGGAAAAGCAGCTTGCAACTGTAGTAGCATAGTGATAATGTCTGTTAAGGCATCAGCTTCCAGTTTCCTGGTGTTGCGGAGCTTGAGCCAACATGGGGTAACTTTAACTCTGATCCTAAGCTGGCAGATTTTTAAAATGGTTTTTTTTTATTCGAAAAAATATTTACAATGAAAGTGTTAAAGATACAAATGTGTGTTGCTGTAACCCCATACTACCTAATCAAACTTTTATCAGTTCAAACATTAATATTTAAAAACCTTTTGTTGTAAATTGGTTAGGATTCCATCCAAAAGCTTATGTTTCTATTTCTAAGGGTAAAAGCTTAATCATGTTTAGACAGAAAAAGTCCAAAAATGCCCATGACTTCCCAGACTGCCATGCTTAAATGATTTTTAAATAGCCTAATGCAGCACTTTCTTTTTATTGTTGAATTTATTTTGTTTGTATAGCATACAATCTCAAGTTTGACACTGGAAACAACTGGTCAAGGGAGGGAAGTATAGGCAGAGGTAAATGGGAAAGGAATATGCTGTTTTATCAGTTACATGTGCTTAGCCACCTCATTCACAAAATGTTACGAGCATGTGGCTGTATTCACACATAACAAGCCTTGGCAGGAATGGCTCATCCTCATGTGTGAATACTGGAAACATGATGAAACATGGCTTATTGGTTATCATGAATCACTACAGAGAACCAACAATCAGTTCTAAGCTGCCCGTGCTTCAGCATTCCTTCTCGTTCTGTGTGAAGCCAGTTGCAATGCTATTCCCCAGTTCCCCCATTTCAGCCAGCAAGTTCAGGGGCAAGAGCAGCTGCGGTCACTCCAGCCACGATTTTCTGCTGCCCCGTTCACCTGGCAATGGCTGAGTTACTGGCAGACACAGCACTGGTTGGCTGCCCTGGCGTTCCCTCTGCTCCCTCCCAGTGTGCGCTCTTGAACTCCCAGCCACCCACCGCCATGTCCACCACCTGGCTGCTCACCCACCTACCCATCACCTGGCTGAGATGCCCATCTTGCCCACCTGGTGTGGCCCCGCACTCATGTCCTTGCCTGGCACAGCCTCCGAAATGCGCAGTGAGTGCGAGCACAATCACCCGGGGGCGGGGGGCAGACATGGTGATGGCGGGTGTCAGGCAGCACTCACCAGCAGGGGGGGCAGAGAGCACCTCCAGCAGCAGGTCAGGATGGGGGATAAAGAAGGACACTTGCAATTTTCCCCTGCAAGTTTTCGGGTTCTAAACTTCTGCATTCCCCCCACCCCCATGATTAAATAGAAATCCGGTGGCCATGCTAGGCACATTCCTATAAGTTTTATAGAATAATGTGATAGTTCCCATTTTCTTGTCATGCAGGGTTATATAATCATATATACCACATTGTGCATACCACATTGTGATATGCTGCAGAGGTCTTGGTTTTTGATCCCAAGTTATAAAACGAGAACACTAGTTCAAGGTTCTTGTACCAGTGTTAGTGCTGAGGCTTGTGTGTATATGTGTGTGCTTTACCACTGTGGAAAATGAAAGTATCTATCTTGCTATCTATAAAACAAAAACCTGTTTATTTTTCCAGCGTATTACCCATCATTCTGTTTGGGATGAAATGAAATCACTGAGTGGTGTTCGTATGAAATCACCTCCTTTAACACCTACAACTGACCTTGAAAGCTGTGTGTTCTTTTTGGTTTTGTCACTGTGCTTTTCTCCACTTATGTACTTCTTGTCACAAAATGTTTCACGGGAGAAAAGGAAATTAAAGGAAGTGATGAAGACAATGGGGCTACGAGACACGGCATTCTGGTGAGCTACGAGACGCACCTTCCTATAAGAAAAAGCTGGGGAAGGCATGTTATGAATTCAGCACATCTAAGCTTGTTTGTTTTCTAGAGTATTACTGTAATTCCCCGTTTTTTTCAACATCCACATGAAACCGCTGGGTGAGGTCATCAGGAGGTTTTGGCTGAAGTGTCATCAATATGCTGATGATTTTCAGCTCCGCCTCTCATTTTCATCTGACCCAGGAGTGGTGGTGTCTGGACTCAGTAATGGGTTGGATGAGGGCCAATATACTCAAGCTCAATCCTGATGAAACAGAAGTACCGTTGGTGAGTCAACCCACATTTGGACTGGGAGATTGCAAACCTGCCCTGGATGGGGTTGCACTCCACCTAAAGGACAAGGTCCGTAATCTGGGGGTTCTCCTTGACCCTGAGCTCTCCCTGGTTGCCCAGGTGGACTAGCTTGGCAGGAGCACCTTTTATCAGCTTCAGCTCATTTACAATCTCCATTCTTACTTAGATGGGCATAGTCTTGCCACAGGCATTCGTGCACTCGTAACTTCCGGACTGGACTACCTCAATGCACTATATCTGGGGCTTGCCTGGAAGACAGTCCAGATTTTTCAAATGATTCAGAAGAGGGCAGTGCAGCTATTGATGAGGACCGGTTCTTAAGAGCACATTACACTGGTTGTCTGTCGCCTGCACAGGTTGCCTGTTCCTTTCTGGGCTGAATTCAAGGCTTTGACTATGACATACAAAGCCCTAAACGGCTTGGGACCACAGTATCTTAGTGAGCACCTTACTCCATATGTTCCTGCCCATTGTTTAAGATCTTCAGCTGGAGCCCTCCTATGAGTTCTTCTCCCTGAAGAGGCTAAGCGGGAGGTTGTAAAGAGAAGGGCCTTTTCTGTGGGGGCATCCAAATTATGGAACATTATACTGCTGGAGATTTGCCAGGCACCTACCTTGTTAAGTTTGGGAATCACCTGGCAAAAAACTTTCCTTTGGCACCACCTGGACTATTTGCATCAGTGCATATATTAATGTATGTTTCATTTTTATTTAATTATTTGATTGTGACTTTACGTTGTTTATTATGAGATTTTAATTGCATTTTGACAATGTTGTTTGTTTTTAGACTGTAATGGCTGCCTAGAAAATGCATTGCTAATGGGCAGGTTTCAAACAAATTTAATAAATAAATACATAAATAAATAATCCAGTCATGGCAATGACAGTGAATTGCACTATTTGGCAAAAACTAGTCACGAGGTTACCATTTTCAGCAGCAGCCCCATACTCTCCTGTCCCCCTTAATGTTTAAACATATTTACCTAAGTGGTGATGACATTTTGTTGGGCATTTCCTTGCTCATCTTCCACAGAAGTGGCTTCTGCAGGCAAGGAGTGGAGGGGGGTGGCATGGCCCTAAAGCAGCCTTCCCCAGTCTGGTGTCACCTGGATATGTTTGCTCAGCATCAGTCTCAAAATTGTCAAAAAGTGTAACAACACATTTTCATTTGCAGGCTGTCCTGGGGTTTGCTGTATGCTGTATTCGTTCTACTTGTATCCTGCATGTTAGGACTTCTTCTGAAGAATTTGATTTTTGAAATGAGCAGTTTTTCAGCCCTATTTCTTCTGTTCTTCTGTTATGGTATAAGCTCTGTAAGTCTGTGTCCTTCATTTTATCACCTTTCAAAATACTTCATTCAGGATTGAATATGACTGTCTAAAACTTGGTGATATGTTAAATGAATAATTACAGTGGGTTAATCTCCCAAGAATGGTTATCTTCTACCTACTGTAGAGAAGACACTTTCATGTAAAGTCAAGTTTTTGTGTTATTTGTCATTTGCTACAGCTTATTTTAAGCTATTTAATATTATATTATATATTATATTATATTATATGGGGACTGCAGGTGGCACAGTGGTTTAAACAGCTGTGCTGCTGGGCTGGTTGATCGAAAGGTCACCGGTTCGAATCTGCACAATGGAGTGAGTTCCCGTTGCTCCGTCCCAGCTCCTGCCAACCTTGCAGTTCGAAAGCATGCAAATGCAAGTATATGAAAAGGTACCACTTTGGTGGGCAGGTAACAACGTTCCGTGCACTTTGGTGTATAGTCATGCTGGCCACATGACCACGGAGACTGTCTGCAGACAAACGCTGGCTCCCTCAGCTAGGAAATGGAGATGAGCACCGCCCCCTAGAGTCAGGCATGACTGGACTTAATGTCAAGGGGAAACCTTTACCTTTACCTTTTACAGCTTATTTTAATTCATGCTCACTGTTCTAGGCTTTAACAGCTTTTAACTGTATTACATACATTTTAGTATTCCGCCTTGAGGACCAGTTCAGACAAAAGGTGATAGAGCAGTTTAACAAATGCATTAAGTTGGGCATGTGTAGCTTCTTTTTTTTCCCCCACCCTGTTAAATAAATCCTACTTCCTTGTTTTCAGATCAAGTAGCCTACCAGTTGCTTTCTCTTTCCTTTCAGGAAACAAGTGGCTCGCACCAGGCCCCATTTTGAGGTCCTGGCATGCTGCTGCTTTTTAGTATATTTACATTGCATTTATATCCCAATTTTTCCCTCTTGTGAAGAACACAAGGTGGCTTGCATAGCTCCATTTGATCCTTTCTTTTTATCCTCTGTATAACCCAGTGAGGTAGATTGGGGTGAGATTGAGTGACTGGCCCAAGTCACCTAGTCACTTTCCTGGCCTAGCAGGATTAGGAACTTGGCCTTCCAGGTCCTCAGTCCAACACTATCCCCCAGGCCATACTGGCTCTTCTCTCCACCCTCATCTATTTTGAACCCAGTTCCCTCCACAAAAAGGGGCTGCTGCTACGAGAATGGCATTGCCCCTGCAATGTGTGCAAATGCCCCAAGGCCTTGTGCAGGTTTGCATGGGGTGTGCAAGGCTCTGTCCCCTTTCAGGGTGAAAATGGGGTGCTTGTCTGTCCTAAATATTGATAACCCATCAAATTGCAATTGTATCAGACTGAAATATTGGACAGTTAACCATCTTGGATTGGATGTAGGTTTCCAGTGCATATTCATGTGACAGAATACACATTTATATTGCCTTAACATATGATGATGTACGTACAGGCGTGTAGGTAGACACTCTGTTTCCTCCGCTTGTATATGCCCATGTAGGAAAAAGTCATGTAGGTTGTAGGGTTGTGGAATGAGTGCTGTTCAGTTACTTTAGTCAATTTATTATGCCTTTTCAGTTAGAAGTGAAAGTGCTAAACTAAAAGAGTTTCCTCTTTTCCAGATATGCTTCTGTTTTATGATCAGCGCTCTCCTAAAGAAGCCCAAAACCACTTGCTTTGCAGTCTTTGTCCTCATTTTTTCTTTTGGAGCTCTCAGCTTGCTTACATTGATTAACCTGCTTCCAGCAGCTTTGGAATGGATTTTGAGCCTCTGCTGTCCATTTGCTTTTGGGGCTGCAATCTCAAAGGTAGAGTGCTATGCTTTATTTGGGATTGGAAATGCCACACTCAATGTTGTTTGTGAAACTGGTGATAAGCATGCCGGAGTCCATATGAAAACGCAAACACATCCCAGCTGCCACTGTTTTTGCTCTGAGAATGAATTTATAGAAATCTCTTTATGGGCACAAAGGTGCTCGCCTTGGTTAGATCTTGTCTTCTCCTTCATGGGACTGTGAGCCATACTTCACAGGTTACCACAGGTTATAGTCTGAACAACAGTTACTTACTAAAGGATTCATTACCTTCCAAACTTTTGATTTCCCCATCTAGCTTTGACTCATGAGAACTAACACTTCCTCTTTTTACACAGGTTGCTCGTTTTCAAAATTATGGAAGATACTTCTATTTGTCTGACCTAATGTATGAACGTTACGTGTATGTCCTAATTTTTGACAGTGTTTTATATGTGCTGCTGACCATCTATTTTGACAAAGTCGTACCTGGTAAGCAAACAAATAACTGTTACCTAGAAGATTGCTTTTCTATGGATTCCACATCCTTATCTTCAGTTTATGGTTTAACAATTGTCTTCTGTAAGTTAGCAAGCCTCTTAAAGGAAAAGATGCCACTTTGGGGAAATAACAAAGCTGAACCAGCATGAGGAGCACTTTTTGTAGTTTTATTAGCTTATATTATCAGTTTAAGCCCCCAGATACCAATATATAGTTCAAATACAGACACTGTGGGCATGTTTCTAAGACATGCCAATTACAACTTCAGCCATTAGCTTGTAGCCCTGCTTTCATCAAGTTGCTGTTGTTATTGTGGTTGTTACTGAGCATCATCATATACACAATGAGCAGGGCAATCCTATGGCTCTGCAGACAGTATCTAGTGTCCCAGACAGGGGTTGGGGTTTTTTGGAGTTTCAGTTCAGACGTTGGAACACAATTCCAGTCTTGGAGCTAGAACTCTGCACTTGGAGCACCTCCCCTCCACAGCTGATGCAAAAGTAATAGGTTAGGGGCATTTCAGGGGATAGGGAGGAGAGCTTCCCTGTTTTTTGGTGACACAACCCATCATGGTATGAACAACCACTACACAAGCCATAGTTGTCAGGATAGCTTTAAAAAATGCTGTTCTGTGGGAAGTGGTCTACATTTGGATGACACGGCAACCCACCATGGCGAGGCAGCCTCAACAGGTTTTTGTGTTGTTTGAACGTGCTCAAAGCATCTACCCAGTTATGGCCAAGTAAGGCAACTTCTCTTCTCCACCAGTCTATCAGCTCTTGGAATCACTGACCCTTAAATAACTTACAGTATCATTCCTGCTCATGCCTCAGTGTTCAGTGAGACTGCACTATGGAGGAACCAGGAAGGTGGATACTTTGGAAGCTGGTCACATGTTCAGTGCCAACTGCAACAAATGAGCCTGTTCTTGCTCTACCAAAGCTTTACCATGTGTTTCTTATATTCCTGTTAGACAAATATGGAGTGCCCTATCCTGCCACATTTTTCCTAAAGAAGTCCTACTGGCGTAGATCAGGAAGCAGCTATACTTGGGATGCTCCTACAAATGAACAAAACCATGGCAATATTTTCAGTGACAATGCTGAGCCTGTGCCTCCTGAGTTTGATGGGAAGGAAGCCATTAGGTAAACAAAACATATTTCTCTCGTTAGATTAGTGTTCACGTGCATGGATGTGAATGTATAATGGAAATAATGGTCCACCAAGTTCAACGAAAATTGGAGCAAATTATATTCATTGTTGAATATTTGCATGACGTTCCAAAAGATAAATATGGCCTGAATATGAACTGGCTGCAGGTCGGTACAGGCAGGACCCTTTTCCTATGCAAATGATACTTTGGGGTAATTGTGAGAATTGTGACTAGAATCCGGCAATGTACTAATAATTAATTCCTTCCCAATCTTTTAGGATAAACAATATTAAAAAAACATATAAGGTAAAGAAAATGGAAACAGAAGCTCTGAGAGGTGAGACGCCTTTAATTGTATTCTCCCCTCCCTTCCTTCCTTCCTTCCTTCCAAAGAAAGGAAGGAAGGAAGGAAGGAAGGAAGGAAGGTGCATTTCTGTGTGTGTGTGTATGTGTATCCCACTTGAAAATACATTACTGCTTTTTATCTTATCACTGCTTTCTGCCTGTGAGATAATGCTAATAAAGTACCTGAGTATATAACTTCTTCCTCAGATCTGTTAAATCATGGTGTTATTTGAATCTTCCTTCAAGTAGTTTACATTACCCTTATTCATCTGGTAAAGAACTGTAGGAAAGTACCAACTACTGCAAACTAGTCATTCAGAGCTTCTCCTGAGAAAAGTTTCACAACCTACAGGGCAAAATTTGCACAGTGCTGTGCATTCCTACCACCAAAGCTGCTATAATGATGACTGTGGAAGCCGTAAAAAAGAACTATATTTGAGTTTCTGGCTCACACAGCTCTTTTGCCTGGTGCCAAGGAGCTGACTGACTATGCTCTGTCATAGACCTTTCTAAAGACAATATTGGATTACTGTTCCAGTGAGGAGATCCTTGTGGACAAATTCACACATACACAAGATTGGATGCTTGGAGCTCTGTGTGTGGATTCTACATGCCCACCTACCAACAAGGAAGTTGACATTGGGTTCCTCTTCCTCTTCCTCTTCTTCGGCTTTGGGTGTCCAGGGTGATACAAAACTCTGGCCCTTGCACTTCAGGTAGCATCAACCATTGTTATGTGATGCTGTCGTAGTGTGTCTTTGATGTTGTCTCTCAATCTTCCTCTGAGTCTGTCTTGCGCTCTTTTTATGAATTCCTTGAATGGTATGGATTCCCAAGACATTCTCTCCAGATGAGCAAACTACTTTATTTGCTGTCTTTGTATATAGTTAGGGATTGGTTCTATTTCAATTTTCCCTTATAATCTCATTCCTGATTTTATCCCTTACGGTCACTCTAGCAGCTTTCCTCAAACATCTCATTTCCATGGTGCCTAACTTTCATTTATGTTTTGTTGTAAGTGTCCATGTTTGACCCTGGTAGCATAGGGTGGGGATGAGTATGCTTTGTATGAAATGCTTCTTTGTACTGATTGGTGCATTGTGTTGTAGGAGAGGAGCGATCTGTCCCAATACTTGGTTTGCCTTACTGCATCATATGTTAAACTCTTCGTCCATTTTACCATCTTCTGTGAATGTTGTTTCTAGATATTTGAACACAGACTCTTGTTTTATGCTTGTTCCCTCTACTGCTATATTTAGGGTATGTTTTTCCCTTCCATCTGCCATTACTTCAGTCTTCTCTTTACTGATTCTCATATTGTTTGCCTTGCATTCTTGGTTCATGGAGGTAAGATGCTGTTGCAGCTCCTTAGCTGTACTTACCATCAGTGCCTGATCTTCTCCAAAGAATAGTTTGTTGATGTTATTTCCATTTTTGGGCTTGGCTTTTTTGCTTATGCTATCAATGTAGGTGAAAAATAAAAGTGGCAATAATATACATCCTTGTTTTACTCCAGATGTTATCATGAAGGGTTCCGATATTCCTTGGTTTGTTTTAACTACACTTCTGCAATTGCTATATAAGCTTTTGCATACTCTAATACAATGTTCACTTACTCCATATTGGGTCATTGTTTACTATAGCCATTTCCTATCAACTCTATTAATGCTTTCTCTTGTTCTACAAATGCAACAAAGAGATTCTTACTGTATTCCATATTCAATTCTATTAGTTGTTGAAGTGTAAAAATTGCATCTTTGCAGCTTCTATATCTTCTGAAACCCGTCTGTTCTTCTGCAAGTTCTGATTCTATGACTGGTCTCAATGTTGTTTCTGTTATCTTGGCATACATTTTCTCTGCAGGGCTCAGGAGTGAGATGCCTTGGTATTGTGTACATTCTTGCTTTCTCCCTTTGTTTTTCCAGAGTGATATTATTATTGATTGTTGCCAATCAGTAGGTGCAGTTAATTGTGTCCATGCTGCATTAAAGATTTTATGTAGCCATCTGATGCTGCTTTCCTCTGCTGCTTGAATTACTTCTCTTGGTAACCTGTTTATTCCAGCTGCTTTGTGTTTAGGTGACTGTTTAACAACTCTTACTACTTCTACAATTAATATTTCTGGCTCTAGTGCTATTGTTTTGTAGTCTTGTTTTGCTTCCTCCTAATACTCTCCTAGGGGGTTGAAGAGTTCTTTGAAGTGTTCCCTCCACTTTCTATTACTTCTGAGGGTTCTATTAGTGGTCTTCCATTCTTGTCATTGATTATTTCAGTGGGATTGTAATTCTCTCTCTTCTGTATACATTTGACTACCCTGAAAAACTTTCTGCAGGCTGTTCTCTCATAATCGGCTAATAATTTTCCAATGCAGTCCCAGGATTCTTGTTTTGCTTTCTTGATTATTCTGTTGGTATTTCTGCACTGCAATCTATAGTTCATATAATCGTCTTCTTTCCTGGATTTTATCCAACGTTGATATAATGCTTTTTTCAACTGTACTGCTTCTTTAACTTCTTCACACCACTATGCAGAGTGTTTGGTCCCATTCCATTCTTTCCCACTTTTCTCTTTTCCTCCTAATTCTTCTGCAATATTAAGCAGGGTGGTTCTGTATTCCTTCCATTTGTCCTCCACGTTCCCTACCTCTGGTGATAGCTGGTTAAATGCTGTCTCCACTTTTTGTTGTTGTTGTTCTGTTATTGCTTCTTGTGTAAGTTTTGCTATCTTAATTAATTCATAGTTTTTGTTTAGTCTTCTGTTCATATTAGATTTATCATTTCTTGCTGTTTACAGTCTTTTGACTGGGGCCACAGAGTCCATTGGGGATTGCTTTGGCATCGAGTATTCTGGATCTTCTTTTAACTCCTGTTAATATGTTATCAATCTTACTTCGAATGGTGATGTCATTTCATTTATACCATGAATAACGTTGTGAGTCTTAGTGTTCAGAAGGAGTGCTAGTGATAAAAAGATGGTGTTGGCTGCATAAATCCAGGATCCTTTGCCCATTCTTGTTCCTTTCACTGTTCTTGGCAACATGAGAGCCAACAAACTGTTCATACTCTCTTCTGTTAGTACCCTCTCGGCAGTTGAAATCTCCCATTATGCGCAGTGTACTGTTAGCTTCCACTTCCTCTGTCACCTCAGATAATTCATCAAAGAACTCATCCTTTTGCTCTTCAGTGTAGCTATCATTGCATGGGGCTTATTATTGTGCATATGTTTCAATTTGCTCTCATCTCTTGATTTTCAATATTATTATCCTGCCCAAATAGTTATTGATGTCTAGTATGCATTGTGCTATGTTTGGCTGTACCAAAAGCCCACTCCATTCTTTGAAGTTGTCCCTCCTGAGTAAATAAACAAGTACTGTTTGTGAACTTTCTTACTATGTCCTTTGCGTCTTATATCGGCTTGTCCCATTATCTCGATCCCTCTTTTTCCCATTATTTCTACAATTTCTTCTGTTTTATTGCCCAAGCCGGCTGTGTTCAAGACTCCTATTTTGGACTTCACTGTTCTGTCTCTTAGTCCGTTAACATTGCCATGGTCATTTCTTGTTTGATCAGTCTTTTGTATCTTGTTTGGATTTCTGTAGCGAAATGCTACCCGCTGCCAGCTTGCTGGGCCTGTTGCAACGTCACCAGAGGCCCTTTTGCCAGGTCGTTTCAGGGTGACCCAGGATGGCCTTCGTGGCTGCCGTAGCAGTCCTCTGGCACAAGGCCACGCCATACTTGGCCCAACCCTGGCAATCCCTTATGTGTCCTGTTACTGCCTCTCATGACGTGGACCTGGGGCTTGGGTTTGAGAGGCTACATTGGTTTAGGGGATAAAAAAGAACAGTTTTTAAAGGAGCTGGGGCTAAAGAAGTTTGAGGAAACACTGCCTTAGAGCATAGTGGTCTGCCTGCCAGGATTATGTTCCTGTTAAATACCTGTCTTTCACAGGTTTTTTCCATTCCTTTATCACTCAGGGTTGTCTGTTCCAACTTCCGGGCAAGCTTTTTTCTGCCTTAACCATCCCCAGTGAGTTTATATGTGATAGCTAGGGATCTGTGGGTTTTGGCAGTGAATAGATTTCCCCTCTTCTGTCTCTTTATCAATCCCATGTTTGGCTACTTCCAAATTCCTTTTCAACCAGGAAGGTGCCTAAAATTGCTTCCACAGAGATCATTTATTTTCTTTAATCTTGCCCCTACTCCCATAATATTGATGTGCATCAGGAGCACTGCAAATAGCACTAATTTGAAGGGAGTGCCTATGGTATCACAGCAAGAACATTTTTTGGAGGATGCATTTTTCATACTGATTTGCATGTGCATTCACATGCTGTGACAATACCACACATGAAACTAATCTGTATACAAAAGCAGGTCATGTGAATTGCATGGTCAAGCATCATAAACAGAAAGGAGCTGCAAAACCACACCACTGGTCCTCACTCTGAGGTGACTCATTTCCTTGACCCTGCCTCATGCTCAGTGCACTCACTATGGCGTGCTTCAGGGGAAAGCCTGAATGTGAAGACATTACTCTACAGAAAGCTAAGTCTGATGTGTGGATGTAGATCCATCCGCACAGTCTCCTTCTACATCTATTACCCTGTCATACAAAAAAGAGGCTAAACAATTGCATCAAGATTTCTGTTTGCATACTGTTATCATCAATTGAACACGCTCATTATTTGTACCTATTACACACATAATGATTGCTTTTTGAGGCGTTTTACCAACACACATATAAGCATAAAGAATTGAAAAGCTGACTTAGAAGGAATTCTTCTAAGTAGGTCCCAGTAAACCTATACAGGACTGCTTCATAAGAATGCGTGGGACTGCAGCCTCCGGGTCTCTTGTACCTTTCAGAGCTAACAGAGTTTCTTGTATACTAGGCTTGTCGCTGAATATTTACGAAGGCCAGATCACTGCAGTGCTTGGTCACAGTGGAGCTGGGAAAACTACCCTGCTGAACATTCTCAGTGGACTTTCCCAGCCATCCGATGGTAAGAATCGAGGCTTTCCGGTAAACTAGGCTGCCAGCCAATCCCAAACCTGTTTCGGCAGGCTCCTTGTTGGTTCAGCACAGAAAGGCAAATTAGGGCAGCAGCCAGTTCCCCACAGTGACCCACCGGATACTTCTAGGACAGGGGTCTCAAACTCAACTTACCTGGGGGCCGCTGGAAGTAGAGTCTGGGTGAGGCTGGGCCGCATCAAGCAGTGGTGGTGGGCCGCTCATCCCGCGTTGCTCCCGGAGGCCAGCTCGGGCGCTGCCAGCGCTTTGAAGGCCGCAGGGCCCCTCCCCCGTGCCCCGCCCATCCCGGCAAGTGTCCCGCGGGCCGCGAGTTTGAGACCCCTGCTCTAGGATCTGCACAGGTAGGACAAGGACTCCTTATTTACTGTTGTTCAGTGCCAGCTTGGCTTGCCTCTGATTCCCATTGTGTATCCTGCAAATCTGTTCTGGATGGTTGGGATATCCTTGGAATACTAGGGGAAGGTAGTTGGGATGTGGAATGCAAATGAAAGTCAAATGATCGGAAATCCTCTCTCTCTCTCTCTCTCTCTCTCTCTCTCTCTCTCTCTCTCTCTCTCCCGCTTGCTCATGCACACTCTTTCTGGCAGCAGGAGCGTTCTCAATGGGACTCCACTTGAATCTGACCCCAGCAACAGAATAAACCTCTGGATCCAACCCAAAGAAAATGTCTGAATTATCAGTAGTTGAACTCCATCACTTTCTTTTATATATGCAGGTTCTACGACCATCTGCACATACAATATATCTAAAAGGGAAGATATGAAACAGATTAGGGAAATGCTTGGTGTGTGCCCGCAATTCAACATTCAATTTGAATTTTTAACAGTGAAAGAAAATTTAAAGACCTTTGCTAAAATCAAGGGTATTCCATCCAAAGACGTAGATAAAGAGGTAGGTGTATATTTAGTGAGCAGTAATATATCACAGTAATCTATGCTATGCATCTATTTCTTGTAAACAAGCTGCATGTTAGGGGCAAACATTCTTATGTTCTGTTAGCATTTATAGTCACCCTAATCCAGAGAAGGTTACTTGCTTTGAAATCAATGGCCTTAGATACAACTGTTTGTTTTTGTTTTTCAAATGGCAACTGAATATTGTAACTGCATATCCACCAAAGGTTGTGGGCATAGTGTTATATAAAATTGAGAATTGCTCTAGGAACATCTTTATTTTCAACCTTTTGAGAATAAGGAAGCTTTTATCCTATTTTATCTTGCCAGTTTAGTATTTGCCGTAGGATTTATTTAAATATGCTTTCCCCTTTTTATTGGGGACATGCATATTAGACTTGACATTGGCTGTAATTCTAGGCAACCTTACCTGAGGGTAGTCCCCATTGATTGCAACTGGATTTGCATAAGATTGAGCTTTTTGGTACTGAGAGAACAATCCGATGGACATTATAGATAGTTTAGGTGGCCATAGGGTAATTCAGAATCTCAGCTTTGACCTTGAAAACTTGCTTCAAGATTGGGGCTGGAACTCTGAATTTGGAGTGTCCTTCCTCTACCCTTGCAGGGGGCATGTAAAGAACCACACCTGTTACAGCACTGAGGATGCAAGAGGGACCTTGAAGGTGGGCTTCTAGAGTCAGAGAGGGGAGGAGATGGGCTCCACCAGCATGCAAAGTATCCTGGTGCTGCCTCAGTCTCCTTGCCTTGTGCTCCTTCTCTTGTGTTTTGCATGACAGGAAGGTCACAGAGTTGACCTTCCTCTGTGTTCCTCCTGCCATGAATAGGATGCCCATAAACTATCTATTGTAAACTGTTTCAGAGAGCCTTTCAGCTGATGAACAGTATAAAAATATTCTAAATAAAATAAAAATTCTAAATAAATAAACTTCAGATTTGTGGGGGGGTGTTAGCGGTGGTTATGGACAGCCTCACTTTCCTGTGCTGTGAGCCTGATAATCCAAATGTTTATTTTTAGTACACATTATATTTAAGTCTTGTCTATTACACGAACTGAAAAAGCAAAGCAGAACCAAAACCCAAAAGAATGTAAAAGAAAGACTTAGCTGCATACTCATAAAATAAGACCAGTGGTGAAATATAGAGTTTTGAAATAATGAAACACATTTATTTTGCATGGCACATGTTCTCTTTCATTTGGGGATGTAATAAAGAGAAAACTGCATTAAATCATTAACAACCTGGGGTTTTCTATGCAGTTGAAGCAGGAGAAGCAGAAAATCCCCCCCTTTCCTTTCCTTTGCCCTGGCACATAGTTAATTAGGTTACAAGCAAACCCAAAAAATAAGGGCACCTTTCCCTGCACACATCTCCTTTCCTGCTCCTCCTAACCTGTTACCAAGTGATGGCAAATGTAATCAAGCAAGCAACACCCACTAAAAGCACTAGGAGTTGTTGCAGGAAAACAACGTGAATGCTGGATATCCTGTGACAAGCCTTGCCATCTGTGATAGTAGCAAGTAATGTGGGACGTGGAGAGAGCTGTACCTTGATGGGATCTTCGTGAAATGAGATTAGGCGTAGATTCAGCATCAACAGGGCACTGCGTTCACCGTTACCATCCTGTAGCGCATGGGTTCTCAAACTAAGGCCCGCAGGCCGGATCCGGCCCGCCATGCCCTTTCAACCGGCCCGCCCCACAGGTTTTGCACTCACTGGGCACATGTGCGGCTTGCTTGCGAGGAGATCGTTATGGACTCAATTGGAGAAAATGCTCTCCTCATGAGCAAGTCAGTACCTCACCCAGCAGCAGCTTGCTCACGGGGAGATCGTTTTGGACTCAGTTGGAGAAAATGATCTCCCAGCCAGCAAGCTGGCACCTCCCCCCACGCCCCTCCCCCCACGCCCCTCCCCCCAGTCTTTGCCTTGCCCCCACATGAATGTTTGCCCCCCCCCCGGCACTGCCTCGGCAGTCCGTGGCCACCACTGGCACCTGTCAACTGGCCCCCTGTTCAAAAAGTTTGATGACCCCTGCTGTAGTGTATCGAAAAGACAAAAGTGGCTGGTAAGTTCTTGTGCCAGTCATAACAATTCCATGGAAAACAAATCTGAATATTTGGCTACTATTCTTCTTTTTAATGAGTGCACTTAGAGTTGATTGCAGGAATAACATTTAAATTAAAACATGAAGGAAAAGTCCATGTTTGAAGAAAAATACATTGGAGGGCTTATGATGGTAAAAATATAAGCGATCAATGCAGATTAAAATCCTGCTGCCCATCTGAGGCAAGGAAGAGGGCGCTTAATTGAGTCCCAGTTGTTTTTCCTCAACAGCTGATTTGCAGCATTTAAAATGTTTTGGAAGCACTTTGTAAATGAGGACAGGTCAGTGCAACTGTGCAGCCCAGGAAATTCAGGGTGAGTGATGCAGAAAGGCAGGGATGGGCCCCTTTGACCATTCTTCCAGTAGATGAACCAATACTGCCTTGCCCGTCCAAATGGGAAGATAATCATTGTGTTGCATTGCTCATCAGAAAAAGAGTGCAGATTGGGAAGAACAGGAAACTAATCAAGCAGATGCTGAAATACCCCAGGGAAATCTGATTATGCAAACAATGTCACTATAAGGGATAGGCTAGTCTTGTAAATATTTGAGACTTCATGCTATCTTAGTAACATTCAATGTATAGAAGATACATTGATATACATAGCCTGTATCTTTCAACCAAGCAAAAGAAAGAAAGGTAAGATCAGAAGAAATTCAATTGATCCATCATCCCTATGCTTGAAATGTGCATTTATACACTTTGCAGGTGCAAAACATACTGACCCTCTTGGATATCGGGGCCATTCAGGACACCCAAGCTAATCGATTAAGTGGAGGACAGAAGCGGAAATTGTCCCTTGGGATTACTTTCTTAGGAGACCCACAGGTAAAACATGATAAGATTTGCACAGAATTAGCTTCAGTTGCAAAATACTAGATGAAATAATTTAATTTTAAAGCCACAGAATTGCCTGATCATAAAGAAAAATAATGCATGTCAAAGCTGAATGTTAACTGCTAATTATTAAGGTGGTTGAATTTAAACATGCAACCCTGTTCCTGCCTGCAGGTCTTGTTACTCGATGAGCCCACTGCAGGGCTGGATCCCTATTCTAGACACCTGGTGTGGGCCCTCTTGAACGAGCGCAAGGCAGGCCGGGTAACTCTGTTCACCACTCAGTTCATGGACGAAGCAGATATTCTTGCTGGTGAGTGGAGTTTCTCCTGTTTATAGGTATAAATAATATAGGTACAAAGAGACAAAGATGCCTCTCCTACTCTATTCCATCCTTCCGGTAGCTTTTGAGGTCCTTTGATCAAGGGTGGCGCAATTACATGCAGAGAGGCATCTTACTACTCTATCCACCAGGTACTGGATCCCTTCATGTCTTTCACTGTGGATCCAAGTGCTCATTATTCTGTGAGCTCAGGGCCAACCATAAACATTCTTGCCTACCACTTAAATAATTATCTAGGGTACCTTGAATGATGCTGCTACCTAAGAAGATCAATAATGTCTGCACCTGGAGATATAGTACCTGTGTAACTGCTGCTTCCCTGTCCAGGAGTTTAATGGACTCCAGATGCTGCTATTTTGCCCAGTCTTCTTGCTTTGTTCCAAGCCCATTGATCTCCAGTCCCACCCAATCCAGTGGTTTTGGCAATCTTTGCTTGGTTTCTGATCCTTCCCTTGTGCCCCGCAAAACATCAACCATTCAGTCCTTGTTTTTCATTCTCTTGTAAATATTAACACAAGGATAATTAAGATGGAGGAATCCCTGCAATCACGCTTTGCAGGAAGTTCTGCATCCTACAGTGCACCCTTTTAAGTCATTGTTTTAGGTAAGCTTGGCCCTGTATGTCAGGATCCTGATTTTGCTTCATGTTCAGGGGAGCATTTTGGACAGACTGGCGAGGTGGGCTAGCCTGAGGAGAGGGCAGTTTGTCCGCGGCCACCCAGGGAGCTCACTTAATCACTGAGTGGGCCAGAGATGTAATGCAGGGACACTCGGCTTCTACTCTGACTACTTCATTGTGCTGGCTGAACCTACCCCAAAGATAGTCTCAGTTGTCAGACCTGTTGGGATTCTTGCACAGCTTATATGCATACGGACATGAGGCATTACATCCGATACCAGGCTGCCCTCTTCTGCGTTTTGTTTTGGTTTGTTTTTGCATTTCCATTTTGAGTATCCAGCCAATGTACCTTCTCTTCCGATACTTCTCCTTGACAGATGACATTTGACAAAGAGTTTCTTAGTGCTGAATGAGCTATCTTTTTGTTTTGTCCAGACCGGAAAGCATTTATTTCACGTGGCAGATTGACATGTGTTGGCTCATCTTTGTTCCTGAAGAAAAAATGGGGCATTGGTTATCATTTGAGGTATTCTGAATTTGTCACTGTTGTGTATTTACCTGTTCTGTAGTGGCAAAGTTTATTTCATATCATCTGTGCATCCATAGATATTATTGCATGTAATAATTGGATGATTATGCGCCCTTCCCTTTCATTTCCAAAATGAAATGCAGATTATGTAACTAAAAATAACTCAATAATTAAAATAAAAGTTATCAAATCGAAAAGAAAAAGCAATATTCTAAGAGGCAACAGATGACAAGCAAAAACCACTGCAGAACAGGACAAACAAAATTGAAAGCTTGATGGAACAGCAAGACATGACATTGATGGCAGAACATTAACAAAGAAGGAAACACATGAACCAACTAGGTTAGGGAGTTCTATATCCTGGTTTCCACCACAGAAAATGCTTTCATGCGTTCCTGCCATTCAGGCCTCAGACTGTGGTGGAATGTGCAAAAGTTCACATGTACTCATGACACTAAGAATAAAGAAGCAAGAGGAGAAAATTGCTGGCAAAGAGAAGAAGTGCCAGAGAGTCAGACAAACAAACAAATAAATGCAGCTTTTGCTGCAACCTGTACTGCTTTGCCTATGTGTGTGTGCTGGAGATGGTGAGATAGTATAGTATAAGAAAATAATGAAACATTTTCTGCAGTGTGGAAGGTATATTGCAATTCTGTACTAAAAGCAAGAAATTGAAAATGAATTGCACCCTCAAGAAGGATTCTGTCTGAAAGCAACATTTGACAATTTTGGAATAATATTTGTTAGCTGGTACTACGTTTTGGATATCTTATTCAGAGGATATTATAAATAAATGAGTGCAAACTTGGTCACTGGTATCTAAATGCATTTTTAATATGGACAGGTTGCATGTAAATGAACTTTGTGACTCTGAGAGAATTACATCCCTGGTCCAACTATATATCCCAGCTGCTAAATTATCTGGACAACGTGAAAATGAGCTGAGTTATACACTGCCCTTAGAAAATCTGAATAAATTTCCAGGTAATTATCAATTTAAATATGATCATTGCTACCATCTTTCGTGTCTGATGAGTTAGATTTGATTAACTTACTCCATTTATCAGTTGCTCAATTACCAAAGTACTTTGGCAAACCTCCGTATCAAAATTCATTACAATCACTGTTCAGAACACCAGCCAATAACAGCAGAAACATTTTGTAATGCATAACAGCCATATCAAAGGATTGGGTAACACTATTTTAGACACAATAATACTCTGGACGAAGTAGCAAAACATAACAAAATATGGCATGTTAAAACCAAATAAGTCATTTTTAAAGCCTGGTGGAAAAATCATGCCTGAAAGAAAAAGTATATGAAAACAAGCCCCAGGCAAGCCTCTCCTAATATATTACTCTGCTTAGAATAGATTTTCAGAAGGCTCTTGCTTTGATATGAAGTCCTTATCTTCAAGTAGAAGGACACATCACAGCTTTGCATATGGGCTCCTCTCCCCCATCATGCAGATTTGTTCAGCGACATGGATGGCCAAACAGACCTGGGAATTGTGAACTACGGGGTGACCATGACAACTCTGGAAGACGTCTTCCTGAGGCTGGAGGGAGATGAAACCATTGGCACAGAAGGTGAAGTATGGTTGCAAACAATGTGCGTTGCTGCAGTGCTTCCTGCTGTACCTGGGAAAAGTGCTCAGTGGCAGAGCCCATGTTTTGTATGCAGAAGTTCATTTTTGACATCTCCAGATAGAAACATAGCGAGTCAGCAGGGGTCTCCCAAGCCAGCTAGTCTGATCCCTTCATGGTAATACCCAACATGTGGTTATCCAATCTTTCCTTGAATGCCCTCACTGATGGGGCCTCCACCACCTCCTGTGGAAGCCCATTCCATATCCCAGGGGTCCTAACCATCAGGAAGTACTTCCTGACATCCAACCTAAAACCTGGTTCCTTGAGCATTGCCCCTTTGAACCACGTCCTTTCCTCCACCACAGGGGAAAACCAGCCACAACCCTCTACCATGTGACACCCCTTCACATACCGATATGTAGCTATAAGATCCCCTCTGAATCTCCTCTTCTCCAGGCTGAAGAGGCCCAGCTCCCTCAGCTTCATCTCTCAGTAGCCCAACCTGGCTACCACTCTTGTGACCCTGCACTGAACTGATTCTAGCCTAGCTATGCCTCCCTTATAATGTGGAGCCCATAACTGGACACAGTACTCCAGTTGTGGGTGCACTAGACTCTAGGGCTGGGAAGAAACCAAGCCTGGAGCCCCATAGAGCAGCTGCTTGTCAGTGTCAGCTGGACTAGGCTTGATGGAGCACTGGACTGACTCAGCTTTTCGTGTCTTTAAAATAGGAGTTTGGGACCATAAATATATTTAGTTAGCTGACCTGTACCCCAACTTTCTATTAAACAAGGTGCTTGGGGTAGCAGAATGAGTACTATGGGCCCATCCCCACCCCTCTTACCCATCTTGACAGAGCAGGGGGAGGAACCTGGAATGGTCTTCCAGGAGCAGGAGATGGACCACTGTGGTAGTGGTGATAGCTGGGAGGATGCAAGAGACGACGGGAGGGAGGGAAAGATGTTTGGAAAAGCTGGACAGACACTCCCAAGGCTGATACTGAAGTTTTGCTTTTGTCCTCTGCAAATTCTCTTAGATTGTGGAGCTCTTTATGGAGAGCAAGTGGAAAAGGAACAAGATGTGCTGTTGCTCTCAGACACTGGAAAAGCAACAATGAAGGGCACTGAGCTCTGGAAACAGCAAGTCTGTGCCATGGCAAGGATGCACTTTTTAAATCTCAGGCGTGATAAGAAAGTCTGGGGTGCTCTGTGAGTGCCAAATCTTTGTTTCATTTTTTGTTCTCCAAAATCTCCTGTTTTAAGGATTTCAGAATGAGGACCAAACTGCATGTGATATTTAATTGTTGCATGCGCTGAGTGAAGATTGTTCTTCTTGACCTATAATTACATTTTTAAAATTGGGCATTTCAGAAATGCACAGCTGTTAAAAATTATATCATATCTTGACATGAAAAGCTATGTCTTGTCATGTTGGCTTATAAGCCAAAAATAATAGGATACGCTTTCTTTGGCTTCTGCCTGATTGTCTAATTTGAGGTCCCCACCCTTTCAGTTGGACATAAAGGACAGGATCAGAAGGGAACAGTTCCACCAAAATAAATTCTTGAAAATGTAATTCTGCTCCTATCAAGTTGTTGCTGTTCCTCCAGCTTTGCAAATAGGTTGCTTTTCCTTTTGGCAGTACATCTTAGCTTTTGCCTTCTCCCACATCCATGTTCTCCTGTCTAAATGCCCTTTATTTAACTCACCTTGGAAATATTACTCTGCTGCCTCACCTTCACTTGCTGCCAACGGCTACAGCTTTACTTTTTTACAGTGTTTTTTATTTACCAAGCCCAGCTGTGCAGCATCAGTTTGGCTTTTGCATGGCTGAGTGCAGCTTAACTCAGTCCAGAAGGTTGCTGTTCTATAAAGGTAGAGAGAGTCATGAGAGGCAGCGGGAAGGAGAGAACCCTGCTTTTCCCTATTGCACATTGTAATACAGTTGGCAAATGTCACCTCTCACCTGTGCTTCATTGCTTTCTCCTTAATTACAGATTACTTCTTTCTGGAATTATACTAGCACCTTTTCTCATTCAGTTAATAGCACTTGGTATCTGGTTGAATCTACATTATGCAGAGCTTCATCCTAGCCTTTATTTTGCGCCAGGAAAGCAGACTTTAATAGGAACCAGTGGACTTCTAATCCTTAATAATACAGGTAAGGCACAGAACAGAATATAGACATTCTTTAGTTGTTAAAGGGCTCAGTAACTACCGGATTAGGGCACTACAATTCAGAACCCTCTGCAGACATGAAATGGATTGGCTCAGTTTGCAAGGCATAGCTTATCATTGGTTGTTGTGTTATGCAAAGCTAGTGATCCTTCTAGGTCAATTGTAGAGTTATATAAGTGTTGTTTGCTTCAGGGCCAGGGTGACATGGGCCATTTGGATGGGAAGGATGAGCCCTGGGACACAGGACCTCCAGATGTGGAGAAGGAAGTGGTGGAAGGGCATATCTCCAGGCCACTGGCTCCAGGTGTTCAGGTAGACCCTGAGAACCATCAGAGCCTGCAATGTCAGGATGTGATCTGGGACAGGAACCTGATGAGCCTGATATAACCCTTAACCCCATGGCACAGTGCCAGGAGATGACTCATCAACTAGAAGGGCTGTTTACAAAGGATACTCCCAGAGCAGCGGGGTCCAGGGTTGCTCAGAAGGTTCTCGGAGGTAGTTTCTGATTTGGATTCAACAAACTGCTCTGTGCATGCTCAGACTCTTTCTTCGCTGGTTATAGTTTGCTGGATGTACACTGGAGCATAACTTGCTGTTGTGAGAGAGCAGTCTGTTCTGGAAGTGAGAAGTGGGAAATGTAGCTTCTGACAAAAGTTACTCTGCGTCGAGAACTGAAGGGGAGAACTGGGGCCAGCCACATTGCAGTACTGGATGAAGCGAGCTGCTGCTAGCAGCAGACTGTGGAAAGTAGTATTTGCATTAATTCTTAAATTACAACAAGAACTCCAAAAATTGTGGCAATAATTGAAGGAGGAAGTGCTTATTTTAAAACGCAAAAGCTTTTGTATTAAGAGCTTCTCCCCCACACACACATTTTAAGAGATTGTATAACAAATGAGAGTACCTCAACACCCAAATGCATCTTTTAAAATGTGTTGCTGCTTTACATAGTTGGCTTGGAGTCTGACAGCATCAGCAATCCAGACAGTCTCTTCTGAGGAATGTGCAGAAGGAAGGATTAAGCTTTAATAGTCAACTTAATGCTTCATTTAAGCATCAATATAAAGATTTGCATTACATTTCATAGATAAAGTGCAAGACATTTAAGCGATATTATTTTGGTTCTCTCTCCTCCTCTCTCTCTTACTCTCTCTCTTTCTTTGGAAGTTAAGATTTGCCATTGTCCTCTTGGTTGCTTTCTCAAGTCATCTTTCTTTCAGGTGCAAGCATAGACAATTTTATCCGTGCAGTGAAGAGTCAGAATATCCTGTTGGAAGTCATCTCTGGCAGCAACGTCAGTGACCAGCTAGTACACAACGGAGCCATAAAAGTAGCCCTTGAAGACCAGGTAGTTTATTCATTTTGCTCCTTTTGGGATAAAGAGCCTATATATCCACAGTAGATTAGCTTTCCCCAGCCTGGGAACTCCCAGGATTCTTAACTATACATAATACTCCCTGGGCTGATTGAATTTGAAGTCATCTAGAAGGCACTAGATTAGGGAAGACTACAGTAGATAATCTCCAAATCCAAGAAGAGCAGGTTGGTGATTATGATATACTACCATCCGCATACAGAGCACTTAACAGAAAGAAATAAGAATGCATGCTACCAAGCAATCTGAAATTGACTGCAAGAAAGGCAACCAACGGGGAAAGTATAGCAGGTGCCTTCAAAAACAACTGACATGGCCATATGCCAGCTCCCTGTCTCTCCTGTTTCCTTCAGTCCTTTCCCTATTTACAACCTTCATGTAAATATAGAGTGTTGATACTTCTTGATAGCAGAATCCTTCCCCAGGCTTTCAAACTAAATACTCGGAGCTTGGGGAAGGGGACCTCCTCAAGCTAAGCTGAGGGGCAGGTGATTTAAAGCCCAGTTAGCAGTCTGATATTCAGAGAAGCTGGACCTCAGTGAAACTGGGTATGCAGTGAAGGCACTTGTGCTCCTGGGACATTCAGTCTAGAGTGGCCCGGCTGCCCATTTGCTGGAATTATTTGATCCCACTCTGCCCTGCTTGTATATTTGTGAATCAAAATTAGAAAAATGCAATAATAAGACTGGTACAATCTCATCAAAGGAAACCGAGCCACAGAATATTACCTCCAAACTTTTCCACATTTGCTGAACCAGAGTGAGCAAACATCCTCATTCAAAGGAGGAGCTAGCAAAGGTGAAGGAACTGCAGTGATGATTTAGTTTAACAACATTTTATTCCATTTCGTTGGGGGTATTTGTGCTTTACTAAATTGATCAAAGCTATAGAATAGATCTATTCACATCTAAATAAAGCATCAGCTATTCAACTGTCTACTGAACACAAGCCTCTTCAAGACAGGTCTTCTAACAGAGCTCCTGGAAAATGATGGTTTTTAATCTTAAGGGAGTGCATTTATGCAAGAGGAGGTTGAATTGCCTTCCCACTCAGCCTCTACTGTTCTTATGATGACCAGAAAATTTTTGGTTGGTCATTAAAAATAATGATCAGTACCAACTTCCTTCCCAAATGTACTTTATTTTAATGTAATTCACTTTAATTACTTTCAAATTAAATCAACTCATTAAAGGAATTTGATTGCTTTGAACTTTAAACCAAATGAATCTTAGGCTTGCTTATAGAATGGTCAACAACAAACTCATCTGGGTTCCTACCTTGTCTACTAGCTGTTGCTTTCTCTTCCCCATCTCCCCTGACTCACTCAAGTTCTAACTGGTCTCTCCTGTCCTGGTTTGTGTCAGAAATACAGGTTCACACTCATGTGCCACATGGAGATAACACACTGCTTTCCGGTGCTTGTCAACATCATCAGCAATGCATTCCTGCACATGTTTAATTCTGCTGCCCGTCTTCACATCTGGAGTCATGCCTTCTTAGGCGTAAGTGTTTTGACCGGACCATAAAAGCTGTTTTGAGGTGTGGTAGTGGGAAGGGAGATAGTATATAAGGATATTCTTTTAACATATTAAAACACTAGGACATACTTAAAATGGCAATACGTTCTGTTTGAAAGGATTCGATGCATCATTCTAGCAAACATACAGTGCTTTCTTTTAGTGTTCTTTGAGAACTAACAGTCATAATTAGTGCAGATCAAGAAAAGCAGACAGGCCCCATTCTAATCATTCCCATTGTGTCCCTTTCCCCAAGGCTCATGCCCTGTTCATTAACCGGGAGAACATGTTGTGAATAGCTTGCTTCCTGTTGATCTGCCCTGTGCATTTACTCCTCTACAATGAGCACAGCAGCCCTTCAGGCTTGTGTCCATGGTTTAATTTTTATTGATTCATTAGATTTTTATCCCATCCTTTTCATACAGAGATCCCCAAGCTGCTCATCTCATTTTCTTCCCCTCGCTCTCGATGTTGTCCCCTCAACAACAGGTCTGTGAGATAGGTTGGGCTAAGTGTGTGTGACTGGCCCAAAGCCACCCAGTTGGCCCCATGGCACAGTGGGGAAAACAGAACTTGCGGGTCCCACAAAGGGGACAAAGAAAATGGGGAGAGCCATAGCTTTTATACAGCCAGCAATCACTAGATAACCCATTGTTCCCTGATTGGTCAGAAGATGCTGTGATTTGCACATGCTCAGTTAGCAGCACTCCATGTAAGGCATGAAGGGGCCGCAATCTCTGTGATTAGCTCTCCTTGCTACAGAGTGATCTGGAGGGATGGGCAGTTCTCAGGGTCCTTGGCTCATAGTCCAACCGGCATAGAGGTATAGCACTCATCCATGGCTGTTAGATCTTTCTCTCAGTCAGGCATCCAAGGAGGAAAAAGCAAGAAAAGCAAAGCAGGTCCTACTAGGTGAGGCAGATGGCTTAGGAGAAAAAAAACCTGTTTGTCTGGAGAGAGACTGGACAGCACATGGATGGCAGCAGTGGAGTGGGGGTTTTTCTCTGAGGAAGAAGCACAAGTTGGTTTCGGATAGCCCTTCCTCTTTGGAAGGAGCAGAATAACTCATCGGAGGATGCCTTTACCACTGTAGGCAAAGGAGCTGGTAGGCCACAGAACATTAAAGGTTTGAACAAGATTGGTTTGCCTCTGTTCACCACCTCCAGCACTTTTCCAAATGAAGGGCCAAGGTAAAGGCCTGGTGATGTTTGCAAGAGTCCATAAGGTGGCCCAAGTGTGACTTAACCCCTTCTTCTCCACCCACACAATATCGCCACCTTTACCTTGTTTCTCCACCTAGGTGGATGTTTATGTTATTGGGTCGCAACTGCTTGTGTGTGTGTGTGAGTGAAGTAGTTAAATCAAACCCTAGGTGAGAGAAGAATCACGTGGCTTAGATCAAAGACTGATTTACAAGATCCCAATATTCCAGTTGTGAAGATCCTAAGGAGTAATTTATATCTTGGGCTTAATGGGTTGCCAGACCAAGGACACCAGGAGATTCAAAGTGTTGCAATTACTTGTGGCTGAGAGAATCCCCGCCTTGGAACTGGGAGTTTAGCCTCACCCCACCTCTCGGTGGGAACCTAAGGTGTGAGAGGCTAGTGTCTTTGTTCTCCCTGTCTGTGATGAAGAAGATCCAATGCTCTAGATACAGCAGTCTCTGTGTAGGTAAAGAGTAGGACAGGGCTTCCTTATTTTCTCCGTCCTCTGGTGCAACACGGTTTGATGGGCAAAGCCCTTTATTTGCTCTGTACCACTTTCCGCTGTCCATTTCCCTTGTTCATTTCCCTTTCATGTGAAATCAAACCTTACCCTTTCCACCTCTGTTTTGATTTCTTAGTAAGCTTCTATTCCCTTAAAGTGTGCTTGATGTGTCACATGCTAACTCGGGTGCCTTGGCCATGGCATGGGACATCACAGGGGTTGGGAGTACAGCCGCACTGAACCCAGGGGGAAAAGGGGATTCCCTTTAGGTGCATCATTACTGCGTCTCTGAATATGAAACCTTAATATATATTAAATGATTATAAACTATATTCTTCTGATTCATTTTCCAGGAAATTAGCACTGAAGACATATGGTTTTATTTTTCGCATGTATATGTATCTACATCTGTTATTTTATTCCCTGCTTTTCTGCCACACTTTGCAATGAGAACTATTCAAGATTACAAGGTAAAACTATTAAATGTGAAAGAAATACCTTCCAGTTCAATAGATAGGTATCTTACAGTAGGGGCATAAAAGCTGTATGCAGAGACAAGGTTTTCAAGATATAAAATGAGCAAAGAATGAAAAATAATAGAAGGATATTGATTTAAGAGCTACAGTAAGACTTAAAAGGAATAGGATTTTAAAAAAATCTGTGATGCCATAGAACTATTTGAAATGCCTTTTCTTGGGGAAGGATTCTGCTAGAAAATGGGAACTTTCACTCATTGCCATCCTCACCTGGCAGAAACAACACCAGAAGAATTGGCGTAGATGACAGTCTGAGCCTGGAGTTCTCTGTGTACCGCCCATGCATCCTTCCTTCCTCAATGAAAATTATCCATACTTTGAGAACCAAGTATCTTGCACCAGATAGAAATGAGATCTGCACAATACAGATCTCACTGTAGTAGCACTGGATGCCAGGGCCCCAGGGGACACCTAGAAGAGGGTGATACCTGGGCAGCAGGGTTGGTCTAGACATGTTGGCAACCTGCTGAGCAGCCCAGGTGAGGGGGGCCTGGTGAGTCCAGAACAAAGAACAGTCTGTTCTGATACAGTAAAGAAAAACCAAAGGAGGGGTGGTTGGAATTCCCTCACTCGGCCTACAGCTCCATCTGTCTTCAGCACACACTCTTTAGATTGCAGTCTCTTAGCAGGAGCAATGCTGCTGCTTCTGCCATGCTAGGATTCCATCTTGCAGCAAGCAACGACTGTTGCTGTCGCACTGAGAGTCCAGCAGAGGGCATGCCTGCTGTTGGCTGCTCTTTCTTCCATGTCTGGCAGAAAGGTTTAGCTTCAGCTGGGCAAAGGCACTGCTGGGAAGAAGCCCCACATTCTGTTGCATTGTTGCTCAGCCACCTCAGTTGCTGCTGGCTGGAGTCTCTGCTGATGATGGGGAAGTTGCTTCTTCTGTGGCTGGATCTTTGACCAAGAAGGAAGCGCACCAGCAGGACTTCTGGGGGAGACCCCACCATTGGCTGGCTAAAATCCCCTTTCCCCAGGTGACAGGTATTGCTAGCTTGTTGCAGGGCTAGAAGGGAAAGGGAAGCTGCAATGAGCTCTATGCAGATTCACCATCCACAGATGTTACATCCTTCATTGGAGTAGATTGAGACTCGAATGGGAGTAGGACTGCCTACTCACAGAACTCATGACAGATGAATGTAGAGTAACTACACGTTCGTCATTTGACATGGGGTTAAAGTTACCTAGGATATTTTAACCTGGTACAGCAAAAACTTAGTGGAAAAAGTGAAAAGTATTAGAGTAGGGTAGTGAGAATCAGAGAAAACTGTTGTACTACCAGCATTGTGTTTAGCTCTTGTATCTTAAAGGCATAAGTACATAAGGAAAGCCAAGCTGGATCAGACCAAAGGTCCATTTAGACCTGCACTTCATGCACAAGGTGACAAACCAGGTGCCCATGGGGTCCCTCAAGCAAAATGGGTGCAAAACCTCCTCCTGCCCAAGCTCCTCAGCAACTGGGTACACAGACATGCCACCCCTGTGAAAGAGGCAGCACATAGCCAGCAAGGCTAATAGCCACTGATAGCCTCCTCCCTCGTGCATCTGCTCAATCCCCTTTCAAGGCCATCCATACTTGCAGCGGTCACCGCTTTCAGTGGGAGCAAGTTCCATAGTTTAACTGTATTCTGGGTGAGGAAGGACTTCCTTTTATCTGTCCTAAACCTCCCACCAATCAGTATCATGGGATGACCCTGGGTTCTAGTGTTCCAGGAGAGGAAGAAAAACCTCTCCCCTTCCACTTTCTCCACACCATGCATTATTTCAAACACCCCTATCATGTCCTCTCTTACTTGCCTTTTTTCTAAGCTGAACAGTCTCAGTTGTTGTAGCTGTTCCTCACAGGGGAGCTGCTCAATTGCCCTAATCATTTTTGTTACCCTTTGTTGCATTTTTTCCAACTCAATGTCCTTTTTTCAGGTAGGTCAACCGTAACTGAACACAATATTCCAAGTGCAGTTGCACCAAGGATTTGTATAAGGGAAGTAAGATTACGGCAGTCCTATTTTCTGTGCTGTTCCTAATGATACCTAGCATGGAATTGGACTTCTTCAGCAGCTGAGCACTGGGCTGAGATTTTCACTGAGCTGTCTGCTATTACCCAAAGATCTCTTTCTTGCTCAGTCACTTCTAGCTCAGATCCCATCAGCGTATGCGTGAAGCTGGGACTTTTTGGCCCAACTCTACACTTGCTTACACTAAACTGCATTTGCCATGTTCATGCCCCTTCTCCCAGCTTGGAGGGATTCCCTTTGAAGCTGCTCAGTATCCCTTTAGGTTCAACCACCCCAAAGGGTTTAGTGTCATTAGCAAACTTGGCCACCTCACGACTTACTCTTGCTCCATTCTGAACCGGTATATGATGTAATTAGAATGGACACAGACAGTTGTAACCAATCCTTCGCCATCTTCTTTTGTAGATCAAAGCTCGCTCTCAGCTGCGGGTCTCAGGACTCTTTCCTTCCGCATACTTGTGTGGGCAAGCTCTGGTGGATGTACCCCTGACTTGTTTTCTGCTTGTTTTATTGCTTTGGCCGTGGTATGCAAGATTTAGCTATAGTGATGCTAAGTTGAATTTCACCATGGTTTTCTGTTCGGTAAGTATGACTTATCACTATAACTTCAAAATGTGGTCTTGAAACAGATTTAAAATGTACATTCTTTACTCACAAGTATCAGCAATCAACACTGAGTAAATAATACACCTCTTAGCCACATCTTCGCAAGCCTTGAAAAGCAGCCTCCACTCCTTCCTTACCAAAAGTTCCCTAAGGTAAAACAGCTACTCACCAGTGACAACAAGCTACAGCAGAGACATAAACAAGACCCTGCAAAGAACTGAGAAGCTAACTCTTTTCCTATATATAATCAGGCAACCCCATGATCAGACCTAATCACATCAGCTAAAACATCAAAAGTCACCCTCTTCACACCCTCTTCATCCCCATGGGGCTTATCACCTGCCTTCTGTGTTCTGCATAGGACTAACAGAGCAATCACTGTGCAGAAGAATAAATGGATACTGTGATTTTATAGCAACATTCAGAAACTAGTTGGAGAATAATTCAGTGGTTCAGGATGCTCCACTACTGATCTGAAAGTGGGCTGTTTCCAAGAAGTTTCAAAGGGAGACCCCATGGTGAATGAGCTGAGTTAGAATTTAACTGTTTGTGGACAGGACATGGATACAGCTCAGCCATCACCAAATTTTGCCCCCAGGACCCTGGAGAAACTAGGGCAGGCAGATTGACCTAACCTTTGCTTATCATTCCCTGAGGCCATGCCCACCCCTCTCCTGTGTCTTGGGGCTGCCTGGTAGCTATACATTTCCCCATCTGATCATCTTCCTGCAGCAGAGCTGTTAATTCTCTTTACCTGTACTTGCAAGAGTTCTCTAAATCTTACAGGGCAAGCAGTTTCTTAATCTTAAAGGGGACATCATACCATTGCAAGGATGACCTGGTGACTGCCATGTTTTTTTCTTACAAGGAAGAAAGTGGCTTGGTAGAAAGATCCTTGCACAGTTTTTCTCTGATCTGGAAGGATAAGGGCAGGGGAATGCTTATAGGGTATGTGCTGAAACGATCACGCAACCACTTTGCAATAGGTTAAACTCAATCCAGGTTTGCTCAGTTTGGATACTTGTTTTGTCAATTTCTGGATATCCCCTGTTTTTAGACATGGTTATTAATAATTCCTACAGAGATCTGTGCAGGCAGTGACTGACCAAGCAAAAGAACTTGGGGTGTGATAGACAGCTTGACAGAAATGTCAACACAGGAGTTTTCAGTTCCTTTCACAGTGTGCAGCGGCTGTGAAAAATGGCAAATTCTATATTAAGCATAATTTGGAAAGGAACTGAATATAAAAGTTGCCAATATCCTACTGCCCTTATAGAAATTTGTGAGGCAACTAAGCTTAGAATACCGTGTACAGTTCCAGTCACTCCATTTAAAAAACTGGAAAAAGTGCAGAAAAGGGCAACAAAAGTGATTAAGTAGCTAGAGCAACTTCCCCATGAAGAAAGGTTACAGCAGCTGAGATTGTTTTGCTTGGGGAAAAATGGGGGAGTAAGGGGGGACATGGTAGAGATACATGAAATTGCGCACAGCATGGGGAAAGTGAATAGGGGGACAGTTTTTCCCCATGAATAAATCTGATTGGTGGAAGATTCAGGGCAGATAGAGGGAAGTAAATATTTCTTCACACATGACATAGTTTAAACTATGGAATTCATTTCCATGAGATGTAGTGATGGCACCACGTTGGAAGTTTTAAAAGGGGACTGGACAAATCCATGGAGAGGCCATTACTAGTCCTCGTGAGTTCTGATGGGTATATGCTGCCTTCAGTAGCAGAGGCAGTGTGTCTGAGCACACTAACTGCTGGGCAACATGGTCAAACGGGTGGTGTTGTGCTCATATCCTGATTGTGGGAACCTGTGTGCAGCTGGTTGGCCACTGTGTGGAAAGAATGCTGGCCTAGATGGACCACTGGTCTGATCCAGCAGGACTGCTCTTATGTTCTTTGGATTTCCAGTGTTATATTACTTGACTAATACTGATTTGAGTACAATTGTTAGTGCAAAATTTTATGTGTTTATCTCTTAAAGCAAATGGTATATCTTTCATGTATATTTACTGTAAAACACTCATTTACTGTTAACATGGGACCTTCTTTTTCATAGATATCATTCCTGTTTGGCTACAGCATATCAGTTATAATATTCATCTACACAATTGCCTTCCTATTTCGCAAAAAACATCATACCAGCAGTTTTTGGTCATTTGTCTTAATTTTGGTAAGTATAAGGGTATAATGGAACTGTTTCTTTGTTTTTTCTAATCCTAACCTGGACTGTAACCTTCAGCATATAACTGAGGTTAGCGCCATTGCTGACATGTGCTTCCAAAATGCCTGGTTGCACTTTCCAATGTTTTTTGGAATAGGTCATTCTGGCTGCCCATTATAAACATGGTCCAAGCCTAGAATACTTCACAGGGTCCTTGGTTTCCCTACCCATCACCTGGTTTACAACCCTAATCCTACAATAGGGCTGAGCTACTCATGTGGCCTATGAATTTTCAAAATTCCTGCTTTGGAAAAAAATTTCTGCATAGCTCATTCATTTTGTCCACAATCCAAGTCTCAAAAGCTTTGCAGGGTCTTTGTTTTCCCAAGCCTAACCCTAATCCAGACTGTAAACCTCAGCATATACCTGTGGTGAGCTGGTCACTGCTGGCAGGTATTTCTGAAATTCCTGTTTTCACAATATTTTTTTGGCATAGTTCATTCTTTCAGCCCATTTTGAACATGACCCAAGCCTCAAAAACTTCAGAGGAAACTTAATTTTCTCAACCCTACCCTGGATTGTAACCTGCCCACCCCCACCCCCCGGCCGCCCAGCACATGACAGGGCTGAGCCAGGCTTGGCAGACACAGATTTCCAAAATGCCAAATATCTGGACATTCTTCGTCATGGCCTCTGTGCATCACACATATGGGGGTGCTGCGCCTGTGCAGTGCCTTTGGCCGGAAGATTATAAGCTAACAGTTTTTGGTGGGAAAGCTTCGCTCCCCCTCCCCCATGGCCTATAAAGAGCAAGGCGTCTGCCATTTTGTTCAGTCTTTGCGACCGCCGTTCGCTGTGCCTCGTGCCGCTTTCGCTATCGCTCTGACCGTTGCTCATCTAGCTTGTTCTTGTTCTCGATTATTCTCCCAGTTGTTATATCCCTGTTAGTTTTTATAGTTCTTCTTAGTTTTATAGTTCTCTATCGTTCTACCTTCTCTTTCGATCTCTTATTTAAAACAAAAAACAAAAAAACAAAAATATATTCTTACCCTCTGCACTGTCTTCTATTTCTTCTTTTCTTACGATGGCGCAGCGAGCGGCTTTCCGCAAATGCGTGGAATGCGGGTCGAAGATGTCTCCAACCGACTTGCATGACCTATGCCTCCTCTGCTTGCGGGAAGGGCATAGGACTGACAAATGCTCTCACTGCCTGGCCTTGTCTAAGCAGACCAGGAAAAACCGTGAGAATCGCCTGAGGAGGCTCCTGTGGGATCGGGCTCTCATGCAGTCTGACCCACTCGTCGTTGCTTCAAAGCCTGGCTCTGCTATGGTGGCTCCACCCTCACGCCCTTCGGAGGAAGGCATGTCTACCATGGGGGCTCCACCTGCTTCTCTGAAGAAAAAGCGCAAGAAGCGTAAGCATGCTGACTCCGATAAATCAGCAAAGAAAGCCAGGAAGGAGAAGCCTCTGAAACTGACGCAGAAGTCGAAGGACACAGAGCACCCTCGACACCGTGATTCAGGTTCGCGGGCCCCCTCGGTACCAGCAGCAGTCACTGTACCGACTCCACCCGATCCGGTGCTCCAGGCGGCTATGAGGGTCACCCCTCAAGGGTCCCCTCAACATGTGGCTGACCTTCCTGCTGAGCCGCTTCCAACTCTTCCAATGGGGGTCAATTGCTGATGGGGAAATTCAAGACTCCCCCCTCCAGGGCTAGGTCGCCCACACCTATGCCCACAGCCACAATGGAGGTGGATGTGGAGATGTCCTCACCTAGGAGCCGAAGGAGTTGCTCGATGGAACAGTGATCCAAGGGATGGCACCGCTCCTACTTTTCCATCCTGGGGTGAACCACACCCTGTCGGGTACCATCCACTGTCCTCGGGTCCAAGGCGCGCATCCCCAATACCTCCTTGGGATGAAAGTAGCCGGTCCGTCTCTCCGGTGGAGTCCTCGTCTTCGGCCCCCCCGTTTTATGGTGCGGACTCCGATGACTCGGAGGTCGATTCAACCTCTCCTGACGTCACTGTGACTTCCCAGGGCCCTGCGTCACCTGACGAGTCCCACGTCTCCTTCGCGGAGCTGATGTCCCAGCTTGTCCAGTCCCTTGACATCGACACCATCCAGCATCCGGGACCTTCTATGGACAAGTTTTATGATGTCATCTGCAGGGAGCAGTCCACCTCAATCGTCCTGCCGTTGATTACTACCTTACGACAGGCGATGACGCAACCCTGGGACTTGCCTTCTCACCCTCAACCCACGTCTCGGAGGTACGAATCCATGTACCGTGTTCGGGAGGAGGACATTCTCTTCCTTCACCACCACCCCAAGCCAAACTCGGTCATGGTGGAGTCCTCTCAGGGTAGAGAGGCAAGAGGCCACACTGCACCGAGGGACCAAGAGGGACATAAGATCGACTCCCTGGCCAGGAGAGTCTATGCAGCCTCAGGCCTGGGGCTGCGTGTTTCCAACTACGAGGCGACGTTGGCGAGGTACCAATACTTCATAATGCAACGCCTCCACAATGTCGTCTCGACCCTCCTGGACCACCAAGGTGATCTGGCGAAGGTGCTGATAAAGGAGGCGATGCAGGTTGCCGTCCAGCAGTTGTCCACAGCCAGGCATCATGTGGACACTGACTCAAGAGACTTGGTCGGTGCTGTCTCTCTCCGCAGACATGCCTGGTTAAGGAGTCCCAACTTTCCAGAGGAGACTAAGCGGTGAATTGAAGAAATGCCCTTTGACAGGTGCGGGCTTTTCCACTCCAGGACCGATCGCAAGCTGAAAAAACTCCATGAGTCCCACATGACGGCCCAACGGATGGAGCTCCAGACTCAACCTAGGTGTAAGTGGGCATGGACCCGTCCATCCTATAGACAATCTTATCAGCCTAGGCAACAGCCCCAGCACCGGCCGCAGCAACAGCAACGCTGCTGTCAACAGCCCCAGCAACGTTATCAACAGGGCTGTCGCCGTTTTGACGGAGATAGGAGGCAGCGTTGACGGGACTGGTGAACCATTCCTCTGACCCCTTCCATACCCATCCCCCTCTCATCTGGGGACCGGCTGAGAAGCCGACTCCCCATTTGGGAGTCCATCACATCTGACTGGTGGGTATTATCCGTCATACAGCATGGCTATCAGAATTCGACATTGTTCCTCCATTGAGTCCGATCCGGTTTACATCATGCTCGCCGGTATTGCTCGATGAAATACAACAACTTCTTCGTAAAGGAGCGATTCATCAAGTAACTCCACATGACAGACTCCATGGATTCTACTCCAGATATTTTACGGTCCCGAAGCGGGATGGTGGTCTACGTTCGATTTTGGACTTACGTACTCTGAATCGATTTATCGTGTCAAAAAAGTTTCGAATGACCACCCTTCAAAATATTTTGCCACTGCTAAGGAAAGAGGATTGGTTCGCCTCATTGGACTTGAAGGATGCCTATTTCCATATTTCAATTCACCCCAGTTATAGGCGTTTCCTTCGCTTTGCTGTTGCGCCCGATTTATATGAATTTACGGTTCTACCCTTCGGTCTCGCCACTGCTCCGAGAGTGTTCACCAAATGCATGGCCCCTGTCTGCGCTTTCCTACGCCTCCAAGGCATACAAGTTTACCCTTACCTTGATGACTGGCTCCTGGTGTCCCAATCTAAGGAAGGACTCCTCACATCCATCTGTACAACCTGTGCCTTATTGAACGATCTGGGCCTATGCATTAATACCGAGAAATCTTCTCTCCTTCCGTTGCAGACGCTTACATTCATCGGAGCCCATTTGGATTCGATGCTGGAAAAAACCTTCCTCCCTCAGGACAGACAACAGACTCTTGCTCGCCACATCCATCGAATGTGACACCAGCACTGTCAGATCCGACGATTGTTCCATCGAATCTGACAACCTTTCATCCGGATATTCAACACATCCTTGATTCTGCTTTAAAGCCATCTTCGCAGAAGTCCTACGCGGCTAAATGGAGACGATTTTCCACCTTTGCCGAGTCTCGTTTGTTCTCTCCATTTACATCATTGATACATCAAATTCTTCAGTTCCTATTAGAACTGCACCACTCTGGACTGAAACCGTATTCAATTAAAGTGTATATGGCGGCAATCGCCTATCATCGTGGCATGGTGGACGGATCACCCATCTTCTCTCAACCTACTATTAAGAGGTTTCTTAAGGGTCTTTATAATCTCAATCCATCAATCAGGCCAGTAATGCCTACCTGGAGTCTTTCTGTTGTTTTGCAAGCGCTTACAAGAGCTCCTTTCGAACCATTGGCAACAGTTGATTTACGTCTTGTTTCATGGAAGACAGCGTTTCTAGTGGCGGTTACCTCGGCCCGAAGGGCCAGTGAGCTCTGCGCTCTCCGCATAGACCCTCCTTACCTAAATTTTCACAGAGAGAAGGTCGTCCTGCGGCTCGATCCATCCTTTCTCCCTAAGGTGTCCACACCTTTTCATATGGGACAAGATATTATCTTACCTGCCTTTTTTCCGTCTCTGTCGACTCCGTTAGAAAGATCGTTGCACTCACTTGATGTTCGGCACTGCTTAGCCTTCTACAGATCTAGGACGGAATCTGTTCGGCGCTCAGATAGACTTTTAGTTAAATATTCTACCAGAGATCAAGGCGCTCCAGTCACTCCGCAGAGACTTTCTAAGTGGGTAGTCCATACTATCACTTTATCTTATCAACTGGCTAAGATTGACTTACCCACAGCTCCTCAAAGCCATTTGACTAGGACTGTTGCTGCCTCATCTGCCTTCGCATCGGGAGTCCCGATTGATGATGTATGTCGAGCTGCTACTTGGGTGAACCCTTGCACTTTCGCCAAACATTATCGTTTAGACGTTCGGGCTCGACAAGATTGCTCCTTCGGTAGAGCCGTTCTTTCATCTGTTCTTCGTTGAGACACCTCCCCTCCTCCATTATGGTAAGCTTGTTAATCTAGCCATATGTGTGATGCACAGAGGCCACGATGAAGAAAAGCAGGTTGCTTACCTGTAACTGATGTTCTTCGAGTGGCCATCTTTGCAGTCACACAACCCACCCGCTGGCTCCACTCGGTGTCAGTGAGTGGACATTTTCATTGGCACTGAATGTTTCCATTTTTTCTTGGTACCGATATCGTTTACAGTAGGGATAGTTTTTCCACATGGGGGCGTACGGTCGTCAAAGACTGAACAAAATGGCGGATGCTCCGCTCTTTATAGGGCATGGGGGAGCGGGAGCAGAGCTTTCCCACCAAAAACCATTAGCTTGTAATCTTCCGGCCAAAGACACTGTGCAGGCGCAGCACCCCCATATGTGTGACTGCACAGATGGCCACTCGAAGAATAACAGTTACAGGTAAGCAACCTGCTTTTTTTCTGTTCAGCTCATTTTTTCAGCCCATTTTAAACATGTTCCAAACCTTGAAAATGTCTCAGGGTCCTTGGTTTTCCGAACCCTAGCCCTAACCTGGATTGTAACCCTAAGCATATAAATGGACTGAGCTGGACATGGCTGGCAGGAATTTCCAAAATGCCAGTTTTCACTCTGTTTTCCATTTTGTCTGGTCGTTCTAAGCATGTTCTATGTAACTAATACTTCACAGGGACTTCAGTTTCTCTAACCTTAGCCTAGAGTGTAATCTGAACTCCTCCATAGGGCTGAGCCACCCATGAGTGACATGTATTTCCAATATGCCTACTTTCACAATGCTTTTTTCCACAGCTCATTCTTTTGGGTCATTCAATGTCTGTACCTTCAAAGTCACAATCACCTTGGTTTTATTAAGCCTACCCAAATCCATTTTTCATCCCGATGCTGTAAGAGGACAGAGTTCCTCATTAACCGCAACCATTTCCAAAATCCAGCTCTCTGGAATTTTTCTGCACAGCTCACTCCTTCTGCCCATTCTAAGCACATTCAAAGCCTTGAATACTTCACAGGACCCTTGCTTTTTCTAACCCTAACTCTAACCTTGAACTTTGCCCTATAGGGCTGAGCTACTGATACCGCTCATGTATTCCCACAATGCCAGCAATATGAATGTGTTTCTGCACAGATCATTCTTTCTGCCCTTTCTAAACACATTCGAAACCTTGAATACTTCACAGGGATCTTTGTGTTTATAACCAGAACCCTAACGTGGATTTTAACCCAAATCCTAAAATATGAGTGATGCACCACATTCAGCAGCTTCACAGGGGCCTTCATTTTTCCAACCCTGACCCTAATGTGAATTTTAACACCGTAACAACCCTATGACACATCTAGTAATTCATAAAATGTGTTTTTAAATTATGTTGTTACTTCATACTATTAAGTTGCATTGCACTTTAGATAGTAAAACAACCAAAGAGTGTTGTTATTTCTTTCACAAGGGAAGGGAAGGGAAGGGAAAGGTAAAAGGAATCAGCAAATGTGATGTGGATAAGGATGAGCAAGTGTGGTTACATCTATTCAGGTTTTGCTTCCTTTGCGGTGGTAGTTACGAGATTAAGCTTTATGCAAAACAGAAAAGTTGATTGAAATTCAATGTTAATGATTAAGATTAAGACAACCTTTTGCTTTATTATAGGTGACCTTGCTTCTGCTCATCATCAGAGTCGCCCTTTATCAATTTTATGTGGACTACATAGATCTTATTTATCTGCCTACATTCATAATTATACGGTTTTTGGTTTCCTTATCAGCAGTAAGTTAAAGTACAAGCTATGTGCAACCATGTCTTATGGAACTGTATTTTTGTGGTTAAGAAGCTGTAGCATCACAATTGTTCTGTCAGGTTTGATCACTGTTTCAGTTTAATTGAGAACTCAAATGTAGCTTATTTATCTGAAGTTAGCACAGGACTGAATGGCTATTTCCATCTTCTACTCTGTACATTTTGATGCATGACTCCACTGTGCTGAAGTCTGCAGAGCAGAGTTCGAGATTTTTCATGGGAAAAAGTGATTCCTCCTTTAGGAAATCCCAGAGTAAAACAGGAATTATGTAAATTAAGAGTTAATCAAATCTAACCCACCTAGTGTCTGCTCCAGGACATAAGTGGCAGGTGTTCTTGGCTTGAACACTGGAGGCCAGGGGGGAAAGCAAGGATTCCTCAGCCAAGGGTCAGACACTTGGCACAGTATAGTAAGACCAGAGACACAAGCAGAGCCAGGAGTAAACAAGGAGCAAATGTGAAATCAGAAACAAGAAAGAGTCAGATACTGGCAAAGGTACTGCAGCACCAGAGTTCACAGCAAACTCAAGCACAAAGAAGGCTCTACAGACACGTGAAGACACTGCAGGCAACTACCAAAGCAGGATCATACCACACAGACTCATGTTGTTATATCACAGCTGCTCATTATTGGGAAGACTTTTATAGAGCCACCTGTGTCACCCAATTGGTCTGTGTGATTGGACTGGCCCTAATCTTGTAAGAATTTACAGGTCCAGTACTAATCCTGCAGGTACTTGGAAGGTAAATCAGGATGCCTTCTCTTATCAAGCCACCAGATGGAGTTTGAAGATCCTGTAAGTGCTGATTGTTTCATGCTTGTAAAAATGATAGCCGCAGGCTTTCACCTCAGGCTTGCAAAAATTATTGCCTTAACAGTCATTCCATTGCAATTCTATCTATTGTATCAAACTTCCTTTTATGTGATGTGTTCTCAGTCAACAGAAGCATGTGTGTATTATTTTCTGAATAAATATGCACTGAGCAGAGGAAAGGTTTTGATTTCACTAAATAGGTAAATGAAAGATAGGCTAGAACAACTAGCTAACAGGTAATGTAATAATTTTTGTATAAGACATGGGGCTTTGTATGGGACGCTTTCTAGAGATTGGGGGCTCCATGTTTTCCCTATCCAAAGTATACTTGACTTTGGACCCTGGAGGATTAGGAATTTCCTTTTTAGATGGCACTTGTTTAACTCAAATTTAGTTTAGTGTATAAACTTGGATAAGACAACACTTACTAAAATCACATTTTGTAAACCTGCAGTCTACAAAATTAGAAATTTTTAACCTTCAGCAATGTTAATTTTTCCTTTGGAGAGATTATAGGAATTTGGGAAACATTGCAGATACTGAGTTGTTTGGGGTTCTAAACAGGGTACTGAACGGACCCCAGAAACCCACTGCATACACACCTTCATATTCATTTTAAGATAACAATAAAAGAGTCCAGATTTGGAATTGGCTGGCAGCCTTACACCTGTGCACTTTATTGTTATAATTTGTGGTTGTGTGTTTGGGACAGGGTTTGCGAAAGTCAGGAAAGTCCTTTTTAATTTCCTCCTAAAACTTATCTATTGAAGGAGTGTGGGGTTTTAGTCTCCAGGTGCACATTTGCTAATTCCGCCTCTATCATGCCAAGGGCAAAGTTATGTAGGTCCTGGAAGCACAGACATCCTTGCTGGACCGTTAAAAAAAGTATGTTTCCTTAAGTGGCAGACAAACATTGCATACCAGAGGAGCACCCTGGGTGGCTTTGTTTTATATTTGTCTGGATTAGCACAGGGGATACCTATGTTCCACATCAGAGGGTATGATTTACATCATCATTTTTCTTTCTTTTTATCCCCTTATAGCTACTAATGTTTTCTGAAGATAATATGGAAATAACAGCCGCACAAACCAAGTCACTCTGGATATCTTCCTTTGTGGTGAGAAATGAATGCACAATTCTTGTTTATAAGAAAGATCTTTTGACAAAGGCCTGATAAAATTGCTATCAACCGCTACTTCCAGCGTAGTTCAGATAACATAACTGAGGTACATGCACTATTTCCTTTCCATTCAGTGGCTCCCACTAGGTTTTATAGTGAATACACATATTTATTACTATTACTCATTTCCATTAGACACTGCTCAACAGCCAAAGTTCTCTGTGTGCTTTATAACAGTACATGTCCTATGCTTCTTTGAGAAATCATGTCTCAGAACTTGGCTGTTGCGAAACTGAGCTTTTGGAGTGAGCAGCAAGCCTGAAGTCATTCAATGAATTCCATGTAACAGCTTCCTTATATCCTTTAGTAAAGAAGTGCCATTCACTTGAAGGACTGTGGAGTCAGTGGTATAAACCAGTTAATCTCTGGAGTTTCACTGTGCCTTTATTGATCATCTATTTCTCAACTAAATCACTGAAATACTCACTTGCTTTATAAGGTTGTTGTGAGGATTTCTAATGGTTTAAGTGGGTGCAACCAACTAAATTCCGATTGCCGGCACTGCTGCAGGGAAGCATGGCTTGGATCTGCCAGAAATCGAGCATGAGAGGACACAATTCTGATTCCTGCTGATCACTTTCCTCTGCTCCTGTAGTCCACTGCACCAAATATAACCCCATTCTCAATGAATTCCATGTAACAGCTTCCTTATATCCTTTAGTAAAGAAGTGCCATTCACTTGAAGGACTGTGGAGTCAGTGGTATAAACCAGTTAATCTCTGGAGTTTCACTGTGCCTTTATTGATCATCTATTTCTCAACTAAATCACTGAAATACTCACTTGCTTTATAAGGTTGTTGTGAGGATTTCTAATGGTTTAAGTGGGTGCAACCAACTAAATTCCGATTGCCGGCACTGCTGCAGGGAAGCATGGCTTGGATCTGCCAGAAATCGAGCATGAGAGGACACAATTCTGATTCCTGCTGATCACTTTCCTCTGCTCCTGTAGTCCACTGCACCAAATATAACCCCATTCTGGATGGTTCATTGACCTCAGGAGCAAGGTTTTCAGGGAAGTAGGATAAGAAAAGACAATTCCATTGGTGGAATCCTGCGACCCAAGCTTCTGGGTTCAGCAGCTTCTGTGCATAAGCTTTCTTGAATGGTGTTTAGGGACTGGAGAACAGAGGTCTCTCTAGGCTGCAAGCAACACACGCCAATCAGAAACCATGGGACAAGCAGCAGAGCCCCCACCTGTACTTCTGCTTTCCAGTAGGTGATGGACACTGTGAGGAATTTCACTTGGGGAGAGCCTTTCAATGTGAATTTCCTATTGCTTAAAAAAAGGGGGAACCCTTGCCCTATCTTCGTGAAACTTGGCCAGTCTGAATTTGTTGAGGGATGGTGGAATGCCATAAAGTGGTTCTGACAAGAGACAGGACATCGTGGCGATTAGAGGGGGAGGAAAGTAGCTATGGCTTCTATTGAAATCAGTGGGATGTTCATATGGTGAGCACCTGTTGATCTGGTTCACATGATATGCCAGGCTCATTTTAGGTTATTTAGAATGTAGTGAACCACTGTGTATGCCAGACACCACAACCCTGGATAATCTTTGCGGTCCCAGTGAATCCAGCATGCTAGACAAACTGGACTATTCTGAAATTGAGTTCTGCTCTGAGTGGAAAGGCTGGAAGAATGAAATGGCAGCACAGCTTGTGGGAGGACAATTACGAATACTATGGAACCATCTGTATATATGTATTACTGTGCACATTTGTTCCTTGACTACAGAGGTATTTAACCAAGCACAAATATAAATATATTACCCGACACTGATTAGAGATATGTACTGTGTCTTTTTTTTCTTTTTTATCTAGCCATATGTTCATAGTATAATCTTCATTTTGTTGTTTCGCTTTCTGGTGATGAAATATGGCAGGCCGGTTATGAGAAGAGATCCTGTCTTTAGGTTAGTTCACAAGCATTCGCACGTTCATGCGGACAAACATAATAATGCAAAATTTTCCTGCTGTTCTTGTCGGAAGGAACAAATAATATCTAATTGCTAGTTTCCCTTTTCTCTTCCTGCATCTGAAAAATCACAGTCTCATGCTTCATTGAACTGGGCCTGTCCTAGAGTGGTTCATGCTTTTCAGGGATTCGGTCAGATGGTAAATGAGATGTGTTCTATGCTTTTTAAGAAAGAAAAATTCATGAATTTCCCTTTTAGTTTTTAGGAACCATTACATCAATATGGTGGAATATTTCTTCTATAAAAAGAACCACTGTCATCCTTTGGGCACAACTTTGAAAGAATCATAGAAAAATAGAGTTGGAAGGGGCCATGAAGGCCATCGAGTCCAATCCCCTGCTGTTGCAGGACTCCAGCTTACACCATTCCACCCTCTCTGAGTGGGATGGTGAAACTTGGAGAGTGCTCACAGATTATTTTGTTATTGAACTGCTGTGCTGGAGAATGGATGTTGAATGCCACTCCTTTTCCCATACCGCTCATGCATGGATTCAGAACCTTTACCTAGAATATGAGACAAATAAGCCTCATTCAGGCACAGTATTTCATCAGTTCCCAACAATAGTGGTTGACTTTATAGATAAATGAAATAAAGATACTAATAAATAATAGCAAGGGTCTTGAAATACACAAATTTCACTATGATTTATATAGAAGTTACTGCCTAGCCTCAAAAGACTGTATGCTTTGACAAAAAAACAAAACAAAACAAAACCCCCCAGAAATTAGCAGACTATAAGGGAAAGATTTTTGGAATTGTTTGTTTGCAACACTCGGTCAGGTCTAGCTTACTATTCATGGATTTAATCATTAAAACCAGCATGCATTTCTTGGTGTGCTGTGCCTGAACGTGCGTTGTGCTGTCCTTGACCTGCAGGATCTCTGCACAGAGAAAGCACTCCGGTCCGAATCCTGAGAAGCCTCCGGAAAATGATGATAGAGATGTGCAGAGAGAAAGGGCCCGGGCCCAGAGCGCTCTGGCCTCTGCCGATCGGGAAGGGGTAAGCCCTGACTGCCGTGCTTTCCTTTTTGTTGCCTCTTTAGAGCTTGCTCTGCTTTTTACTTTAGTGCTTTGCTTACAAAATGCAATGAAACGCCTTATCCTACCTAGCACCCCAGTGGCATGAAAGCTCTTAGGGCTCAAAAGCCGTGGTGGTGACACCTCTGGCACTGTTTAGGTACTTGCTCATCCAGTCTGCACAATGGAGCTGGGGAGGAGGAGAATCACAGTTGTCCAAGTCAAGACCTCCAAGGTAACATTTTCAGAACATCTGGAATCGCCAAGACAGGCAGAGAGCTGTGTGCAGATGAGAGAGTCGCGTCAGGGTTTTGGTTTTTACAAAAGAGAAGGAGCTGTTCTTCATTTGTAGTAGAAATAGATTGTTGGTGCTTAATAATCAAAAGCCCATAGAGCCACTCTTAAAACTGGTAGGAGAAAGTTAGCAGGGCCTGAGAAACATCAGTTAATGCCTCAGAGAGGTCAATGTAGAGCTTTCCTTAGTCCCCAGAATATAAAAACTGTGGACAGATCTTGCTAAATACCACAAACGCATAACAAAAAGAACCCACAACAAGAAAGATTTAATTATTTATCCAATTGTTCATTTGTCATCATTGTATTGCAAATGAAATGATGTATTTTTTTCTCCTCCCGACTTAGAACCCGGTTATCATAGTCCACAACCTGCGCAAGGAATACAAATGTGGGGAGGCTGGTCCATGTTCCTGTTTCAAAAAACACAAGAAAGGAAAGAAAGTGGCCACCAGAACAGTCTCTTTGTGCGTTAAAAAAGGTTTGCTAGCAAATACATTTACTACTATTGTATAAAGTTTCGACCTTAAAAAAAGAAAAGAAAATATCCCCTGTACTACTCTGTGAAAAAGTTTGACCTGATGCTGAAGACATTGGTTTTCTTTGTACTGTAAGAATGTGAAGCTGGAAGAGAAGAAGTTGGAACAGTGCAGTCTTATACTCATAAGTCCCACTGAGTTCAGGGGAGCTTGCATATGGGAATGGACATAAGCAATGGACATATAGGACATAAGCTACGTCCTGGGTCATGTACAGAAAAAAAGAATTAGTTTTTTTGCTTCAGTATGGAAAACAGTGACCATTAAAAAAAATGCTCTATTGGAACCCTGGTGTAGAAAGGCAACAAAACAATGATTCATGGGAAGAAGACTTGTTTCTTCTAGGAAATTTACATTTAATTTATATATGAATGCTATTGCTATGTCAAAAACAACATAAAATGCACACATTACTAAGCACTTTATTCATCTTGAATCTGTCTAACCATTTTTTTTCCAAACTGCTGATGTGGGGGCCATCTTTCCTGTCCAGCTGTTTGTTCAAATAGCCTATTTTTCTTCCTAGACTACAAGACATTACTTATTTCAATATTTTAAAATGATTGTTTTTCCTGCTCATTCATTCAGCCATGGAGTCACAGGAGGAAAATTATGTAAGCCACCTTGAGTTCCTTGGAAGGAAAAAGTGGGATATAGGCATAATAACAAATATATACACAACCTGGTATTGCATATCTCTTGGTGGAATCTGTAAGCCCCAGTGCATCCAGCTATAGAGCAATATAAATGCAGCAAAGATATTGTAGACGTGCCCTGGGGCTTAGCCTGATTCTGCGGATTTTTGATTCCTCCCTCCCTTTGACTAGCCAACCCCTTATCAAATTGCAACATGCTTTCAAAATCCCTTTAGTTTCACAAGTGGATTACTGTATGAGATGGGTTGGGAAGGCAGTTCCAGAAACATGACACCCCACATGTGCAGGAGACGCTGGTGATGTCTTATCAATTGCAGCTTTTATTCTGGGCTTTATAAGAGCATCCATGGTGCTCTTCTGGTGAAGGAGTTCAATGCCATGAACAAGAAGCCATGCATGGAACAAGGTTGAAGGAGGCACCATAACAGCGACTTACATGTTATTGTTTTAGCTGAGTAGATTTGTATCCTGTTTTATGGCTGACATTAAAACCACTGGAGTGCAATAAAGCCCGCTCAGCAGGAACGGGCACTGATGCCATTTTTGCCTTTCTCTGCCCGCCTCCTGTATACTTGGTACGATCAGAGAAGACTCGATGCAACTACGACCTTCCAGCAGTGACTGCTGTGCAGCATTAACAGTCATGAAATCTGCATGTTCACTCGGAAGGAGTAAGTGTGAATAATGCTGCAGCTGTAGTCTGATGTGTTTTTCATTTGCTGCAGCTCTGGACACTGGTGATTCTTGAAACATCTCCTTAAAAAGCTTACACATCTAGCCAGCTGTATTTCAATCCCAGCATTTCCTTTCCTTTTCCTTCCTTTGTGTGCTGTGTCCCAGCATCATTACTCAAAACGTTCATTTGTTCTAGGCGAAGTGTTAGGACTCCTGGGACCCAACGGAGCTGGTAAAAGTACAACAGTGAACATGATAATAGGGGAAACAGATCTGACCGCTGGGGAGGTAGGTGTACCTACTTTTTCAATTCCAAATCAACTTCAAATAGAAAAGTCAATGTTAATTAAATATCCTCCAGTCTCTATGAATTTCATTATTACTATGGGGCTGAAATCCTTTATGCCCTTCCTTGAGAGAAGGCCCTACTGAAGTAAACCAATTTTAGTAGACATGTACAGGATTGCACCATAAAAGCATCACATTGATTTCCAGGTATCCATACATAGGTGCTGAAATGTTTTACTTTGTATTACTGTCAAGCAATCAACTTTCAGGTATCAAGATGAAAAGCTCAAACAACTTGAGTGAGTGCATACGAAGGTCTTTTATTTGTGTTATCATTTTATCATGGAAGTATTCATCTAGCCTAGCAAAATAGTAGTTCAGAACTACTAGAACATAACAGAACATGAAGAGATACAGGAGGGCTATTGGCACTACTGATTGGAAGAACAAATGGGAAAAGTTCTATGTAGCTTCTTCTTACGCCCTCTATCAAATCTTTCCTATGCAAAGTACTCGTGCTACTGCTAGCTGGGATGGGTGTGCAAGTTTTGTGACACAGTTTTATTAATATTTTTAATTCTTCTCAGCCTATAACTTTTCTAGCTTTGGCACTGTTCCTATTTAGTATGAAAATGAAATGTTCCTTTTCCAGACAAAAACAGACTTTCTGATGAAGAAACAGAACACTTTGCTCTTAGATGAACCTAAGTAGGGATATTAGAGAGAGAACAGAGGCTGAAAGGGACAGAACAAGAGGAAGAACGGCAGTTGTCAAATATCGCCTGAAAGCAGCAGGTGTCTCTGCCCACAAAAAAGCCTCTTGGTTATATGGCATTCCTTTGTTATACAAAGGAAAGCTATCTAATTAGTGCAAAATGCACACTACAACAATAAAATATACCAATTAACAAACAGGTATCTTGCCTGCTTGCTTTCATGTTGATTTATAACAGGCACAGACTACATCTGGTGTCAGAAAGGAAGTGTGAGTTACAACAGGTAGACTATGTCCTGGTTGTGATTTACTATTTCCTCAGTCTTCTCAAGGATGTGTACCGATTGCCTGTTCAGCACATGCTGGTTTTCTTCCACCAGTCCTTGCTAACTAGAAAATATCCAAAGCCTGAACATTTTCTATTTCTTGTCCTACAAGGACAGAAACTCCTTAGGATTCTTAGAATGTTTTGTTAATATTATGACACACATACACATGCGAGAGATGGGTTGAAACCAGGATCTGCGTTCAGCAAGAGGAAGGTCCCTACACTTGACTGGGGGACGGGGGCGGGGGTGTCTTTCCTCCCTCCACACTTCAGTTCACCCTGTTCAGCAAGGTTTCTCAGCCATTAGAAGGACACATCAGAAAAAGGTCACTTCCATCCAACATAAATCTGGCCTGAATAGATCAGCTCTGTTTTGGAGCTTTCCAGGTGACAGATCTTTGTCTGGTACCCCTGCCAGCCAGTGTCGTAGCTAATGGGATTCTAAATGCATGCAAACACTTCCTGTGCCTAATGTTTGATATCGAAATAGCCTGGAGAAGACACCCTCTCAAAGGTGAGGTGACTTTACTTATTTAAAACATTTGTATGCTGACCAATTGTGCCATGACACCTCTGGGCGACTCACAACAAGATAAAAACATAACAACGATAAAATACAGCAAAACATACAAAACAAAGGTCTTGTGGCAATTAGTTATTAAAATGTTGTGTTTTTTATAAAGAAAGGACTTGAGGTGAGTAGGGGCTCTGCAGACAGGGAAAGAACCTTTAACTTTCCACCTATGCCACAGTCCCAGTGAAAAATCCTGCCAGGAGTGAAGCTCCCATCGGTGTCAGTGCTGGCACCAGGTTTCTGGGGGCCCTGGGAAAAGGCACCCTCATAGGGGGCCCCTCCCTCAATCAGTCCACCCTCGAATCAGTATTGTCCCCTGCTCCTCATCCTCTTCCTCACTGTTGCTTGACAAGCAGAGAGGAAAAGAGCCGGTAGACAGTGCATTCGGTGCCTCTGCTCCTCACCGGCAGGCCGGAGTGGGAAGCAGGCTGCAAAGGCAAAGCAGAAGGGGGAGCTCTGGTCAGTGGGCCCTGCTGGGATGGGAGCCCTTGGCAGATGCTGCGCTGTGCCTATTCTTCACGCAGGCTGTGCTTGGCACCAGTGGAGGCGTCTGTTCTTGCGTCGTGCGTGCGTGCGGGTGTGTTATGCATGGGGTGATCTTCACCCAGCTTGCAGCGGTAGAGATACGGCTCACTTCGTTCCCTCCTTGACTGCTATTTAAAGAACAAAAGTTGGGAATGTGAAGGTCTAATTTGGCTCTTGCTCTTTCTTAAAAGTCTGATGTTTCTCAATAAATGCCAGTTCGAAAAATCCAACCAAAGGAAATGATAAACATGTAACCCAATAATGTATTTAACCCATTCCCATTAAAAACATAGAAAGGTAACAGTGTCTCTTACAAAGTAGAAACTGGACATGCATTGTCACTGGTTGCCCTTTCCAATGTGACTTGTCTGTCCTCTGTTTCTATTGTTGCCCCTCGCCTCTTATGAGGACTGCCTGGAGCTCGGGCAGCTTTTCTGGTGTTGCTGTTATTGTGCTCTGCTGTGGAAAGACACCCTTCGTCGATCATACCCTCCTTGAGATTTTTTGATAGTTCAGGGGGTGCGCTTGTGCGGAACAAAATGCTATTGAAATCACAGTAATGACTATTTACAGATGCTGATAAAAGGGGTTAGTGCAGTGGAAACTGAAGAAGACACTGCTGAATTTCTTGGCCACTGTCCTCAGGAGAATGCCCTCTGGCCCAACCTGACAGTGAAAGAACATCTGGAGATTTATGCAGCTGTGAAAGGCATTCGGAAGGAAGCTGCTGCTATTACTATTAATAGGTATGGGCAGCACAAAAGCCTGTTTTCATTGTACAAGTTCTGTCTTAGGGCTTGATGTTATAGAATTGTATTTATTCACAGTTCAGATTTTCTTTTTTTCTTTTTTTTTGGGTGGTGGACAATACAAGATAACCAAAAGTAGGTGTAGAGTACTGATCAGGCCACAGAGGACCTCACACAGCGGATGAGTTGAAGGAGTTCATCTCACAAGTCTTTAATTGACATGGTTGCTAACTGGAATTTGTGTCACTGTGCCAGGGACAGGTTCCAGAAATGTTATAACATTGATGGAGGCCATTTCAAGCACCTAAGAGACTAAACATGACCTAATCAGTACTGTATACCTACTTTTGGCCCACCTTTTAAATAGAAGCTCTTGATTATGCAAACACCAGATACAGTACATCTCTATCCAGTGTACTGGAAGCATCCCTGAAAAATTATAGGAATCTCTCCTCTCCTCTCCTCTCCTCTCCAAGCAGGATCAGTTGCAGAATAAACTGAATTTTGTACTATTTTCTTTCAGGATGGCAGACAATCTAGATCTTCAAGAGCATCTTAAAAAGCCAACAAAGACATTAAGTGCTGGATTATCTAGAAAAGTAAGTTGTGTTTTGTTAGGACTCTGCCCGTGGGACAAATATTCTATGTTAGGTGCAGGTCTGGCAGCACCAGGAAGTACCACTTGACATATGAAGGCCTATCACTTCCATCATCACATTCCCTTTTCTACTACCCCCTGCTGCCTGCTCTTCACCCGTATCTTCCATGCAAGCTTTTACAAGGAGGGTCAAATTTGTTAGATCTGGTTTCTCTCAGTTTCTCAATTTTCCATTCTTAAATCCAGTTTATCCTGATGATTAAGGATTTTTCCATCCTTGAGTTTAGTTCATTCCAAAAGCTAAAGATGTTTTTAAGTTTGCATGAAAACTCATATGCATTTTGTTCATATTTCTCCTAGCACATGCATTTTGCTTGCAGTTTTGCCTAATTCACACATTTTAGCAAGTGGTTTTCCTGCTATAATGCAGATGGACATTATTTTTATTAATATATGCATTTTCTGTGCACTTTTTCCTACTATACATATTTTGATATGCATTTTAATTGGAAAATTCCATTGCCGAAATTGGAGAAGTATGAATTTAGAAGAATTTACATAGATTTGCGGGCTACATACTTCCTGTTCAGTCCTCTCAAAAAATTGTCTCAACAGCTGTCAAAGCCCATGCTCCTCTATAGATGGAGTGGTTTGCATTTTCCCAAGCACCTGGAGTTTGAGGAAAGGGCAGAAGAGGTGCAGGATATGGCAAATGATCACTCCAAAAACACAGCACAACACAACATAACAAACAAAACAAAGCCAGAAGAGGAGCTTGCCATGAAGCCATGAAGGAGATCAGGATCTTCTGACTCCTTCCTTTCACTTGACAGCTCCTCATTAACAGCTGCAAGAAATTAACCTGTCTGCAGCCCATCCTGGTCAATGTCCATGAATGGTACCTACTTTCCTTTGACAACAGACACTTCTCAGGACATCAGTCAGGAAATGCTTTTCATTTCAGACCCCTGCAAGTGTGTAGGTGCACACTTGGAAAGGCCAATTCATTTTTAAAAAAAAAATCAAATGAGTGCTGTGTTGCCATGTAACCAAGCTTTTTGATTTCCTGGTTTGGGCTACTAGTCTGTATTGTTCATATGTATTATTAATCTAACTTGATTTTCCCCTAGAAGTGGCTTGAATGCTGGGACCTCGTCTTTAGATCCATGCTTAGCCATGGAGACCCTTGGGTGCCCTTGGGGAAGCTACTTCTTCTCAGTGTCAACTACTTTGCAGGATTGTTGTAGGGTACACTGAGAACATTTCTTGAACGGGAGATGGAATGAAAACATGAATTCCTGTGAAAATAGCTTGTGCAGTTTATGTGCCTCGCTGAACATGGACATGTTTTAGTTTGTTCTCATTCAAATCTTCATAGAGAATTTTCTGTGTTTAATCAGCCAAACAGTTTTCACCACAGATGAAGGTGTTGTCCAGGAGTAGGCTACAAATAAGGGGGTTTGTTTTTGCTTTTTCATTTTTCACGTGTGTATCCTGTACTTCTATAAAATATTAAATGAAATGTTTGAGTAATTTCTTCTCAGTTTATTAATGATTAATATAATCAATTTTCCTTCAATTTAGTTATGCTTTGCAATGAGCTTGCTGGGCAGTCCTACTGTGTTGCTATTAGATGAATCAACTACTGGAATGGATCCCAGGGGAAAGCGCCAAGTCTGGTGAGTGACCTATACCTTAACTATATAACAGAACTGGATTTTTAAAGTAATGATCTTAACAAAACTCATAGTCCAATCCACCATTTCTCTCCTAAATTCCATTTCTGCCTAAATATTTTCTTCATCCACGATACCCAAATCCCATAGGCCCTACATTTTTGTCAGAATGAATACATGGTGTCGGATGGTCTCCCAAGAGAAAATAATTCAGTGCAACATCTCATACCACCCAAGTTATTAGGAATTATTAACGAGCTAATTCATCTTTTTGTACATGATGTATTTCAGGCTTGCCAAGGAGACCCAGTTTCCTTCTGGTGGGTTAATCCCAGTTCCTATCATCCAGTGCCTCCCTGTAAATTCCCAGCATTGGCAACTGGTTCCACTTGCACAGGTTGGGTGGAGGGCAGCATCAGTCATCCTACGTGCTAAGTGCACTGATGCAGTGCAGTATAATTAAATAAAGTGAAGAATAATGCCTTCCCGTGGATCAGAGGAGTTGGGTGCCTTTGCACTTGGCTTCACGCTTGGGGACAAGTGTGCGTGGCCTCATGACCCTCGATAGCCATCCTGACCCTTCACTTATGGACAACACTCCCTGAAAGAGGAACTTGGTCCCAGCAAAACCCAGCCTTTGAAAAGGCAAGAAAAGTGTGTTTGGGCAGCACACCTGATTCTGAGCTGACAGAAAGGCCTGTGAGTGCCTAAGATCCTTTGCGGCAGGAGTGAGGAATCTTCAGGCCATGGGGTAAATCTGCCTTCCCAAGCCCCACCCACACTTTATTTATTTATTTATTTATTTATTAATTAAAACATTTTTATCCCGCCCCATTCGCTGAAGCCTCGGGGCGGCTTACAACAATTAGTTAAATAATTATAATTAAAAATATAAACTTTAAAATAAAATACATATAATATAAAATAAGCCGCCCTGGCCAGATAAAATTCAATAATATTAACATTTAAAATGCTGCTTAAATAAAAAGGGCTTCGCCTGGCGCCGAAAAACAAATAACGACGGCGCCAGGCGGACCTCTCTGGGGAGCGCGTTCCATAACTTAGGCGCCACCGCTGAGAAAGCCCTCCTCCGAGTACCCACCCTCCTAATTTCTTTCATGGAGGGTTCCCGGAGAAGGGCCTCTCCCGCCGATCTCAGGGGGCAGCTGGGCATGTATGGATGTAAGCGCTCCTTCAGGTATCCAGGACCCAAGCCGTTTAGGGCTTTATAGGTCATCACCTAGGGCTTTATGCCCCATCTCCTAGTGCTAGAGGGAGGCAGCCGTTTCCTGCTTAGGAGAGATGAATGCTAGCTCTACTTATGGGTGGATGCTTACTGATGAATGCTCAACAGCTCTCTATCTCCTATTCTAACTTAAATAAATAGAAAGATAAAAATGAGCATACCCCTCCTCCACAAATGCTCTGCTTTACCACATCTTTACTGGCTGCTGTGGATTCCTCTGGAATAGTCCATCAATCAAGACACTTGCTGAAACAGACACGTACCAGCTAACCAAAAAGAGATGCTGGGGCTTGAGGAGATGAAACTCCTCTGGCTCTTTTCCATGAGCAAGAGGTGCAAGCTTTAAAAGCTCCTACCTTCTTCCTTGTTCTTTCCATGAACTCTTTCATGCTGCATCTGGCCTTATAGCTTCAGTTCTTTGGCATCTCCCTCTCCCCCGCTTTATAAATTCTCTTCTGTTGGTACCTCTGTTATCTCCTTTGCCTATTTTTTCCCTTGCGGATTTGGAACTTGAAGTTGAGTACTCCATTCTTCTGCCACTGGACTAACAAAAAATGTTAAGAACAGACCATATTGTCCTCCAATAAATCTTGTGTTGTCTGCAGGAAAACCATTCGTACCATCCTGAAGGACAAGGATCAAGGAGCCATTCTGACAACTCACCACATGGAAGATGCAGAGGCGGTGTGTGACCGAGTAGCCATCATGGTGGCTGGGCAGCTCAGGTGGGCTTCCTCATGCATTCAGTTTTCCAGTTTACTGGGATACTATGAATGGACTGATGAGGCAAAGGAAGATGTGTACAGAATCCTTGGAGAAAGAAGGCACTTGTCTACTGGACTCTGTCATGACCCAAGGCAGGGCACCATTGATTTTCCTGGCTTTTAGAAATAGCCACAGAGAGAATTGCTTGGCGGATAAGAGTAGAGGTGAATGCCTCTTTATGGGAAGGCATGATTGCATCTTACTTGAAAGAGGTGGTGGTAAGACTTTCCTTTAAAAAACAAAACAAAACCCTAAGTCCTACTGTGCTGGATAATTTGTAGTTAGTTTCCAATCCTTGATTCTTGGGCAAGGTACTGTAGCATGCAGTGGCTTCTCAGATACAAGGATTTCTGGGCGATGCGTTTCAATCTAGCTTCAGCCTGGTTATGGAACAGAGATTGCTTTGGTGGATGAGCTACACCGGGAACTGGGCACAGATAGAGTGTCCCTACACCCTTCGGCAGCTTGCCATGCCGTCAAATATGGTATCTTTTTGAGGCATATGTCAAGGAAGGAATTCCTATCTGACATTTCTTGAGGACGCCATCTTCTCCCCAGTGCTATGTACCATGTAGATGAAACTACTGGGAAGGATAGTTCGCAGATTTGAGCTTTGGTGGAACCAGTATGCTGGTGACATCTAGCTCTCTTTCTCATTTCCATCCAAATCCAAGGAAGCTATCTTACTTCTAAGTTGGTGTCTGATGTCAGTGATGGACTGGACGAGGGCAAACATATTAAAGTTTAATCTAGGCAAGACAGTGGTGCTCCTGGTTAGTTGAAAAGGAGTTCAGGGAATAGCGATTTAAGATTATAATTCTAACAAAAAGCCTTCTCCAGATATATCCATAGTAAAAGGCAGAGGAAAGAAATGGTAGTTGATGTGGGTGGCAAAATGATAACAGATGACAGAGAAAAGACAGAATTGCTCAGTTCCTACTCAGACTCAGTCCCAAAAGTAGATCCATTGCCTCCCCAGTGAAGGGAAACACAAGCTGAAGGAGCAGGGTGGCAGCTTGAGACTGCCACGCAAATGGCTAACCAATGGTTAAGGATCTCCTCACTAGCGTGATTGAGCGCCTGCCATAATAGCCAAGGCAGCCTAGGAAACATTAACGCTTCTGTATTGCCTCTTCTGCCGTATGCTGATCCCTCCCTCCCGCAGGTGCCTTGGTTCCATTCAGTACCTGAAGAGCAAATTCGGCAAGAACTACTTGCTGCAAATTAAAGTAAAGGGGCTAGAGCAAGGCGAGCTTCTGAATACTCGGATTCTGCAGATGTTCCCCCAAGCGGCTCGTCAGGAAAGGTAATTTAGTATGTTAGTATTTTCATGTCCTTCTTTGTATTGTGTGTTATACTGTATCCAACACTCCTGAGTGGCAGGGGATCAGCTGGATTAAGAAGATGGGATGAAGCCTCTTCCTTTCACTCTTCCTTCCAGGTCATGTTTATTCGCCCAGGGAGTGAGTCCTGGGGACGAACTCGTATGCCCCCATCCAGCTGGCTTCTGCCTGTGTATCCCGGGCTGAATGCGAGCAGTTCCCTTCCCAGCCCAACAGCCAGTGCTGTACGCAGGGACCTGCTCAGGAGCTGCAGCCTTTGTGATCAGCTGTTCAAGCTGCGTGTGTGTGTATGAGTGTGTGAGAGCGAGCCGGATGCAACCGCTGTGCCTCCCTTCCCTGCCGAGCTGGCTACCCTGCTTGTGCCCCTCAGGACACTGGAGCTGGGCTGTTCTTCCTCCCCTTAGGATCTCCACTCTGTTGGTCTACAAGGTCCCGATGGAAGATGCTCTGCCTCTGTCCAAAGCCTTCTCCATGCTAGAGGAAGGTAGGTCTGCATTGAGCGTATGGACGGAGCATGTGAAGAGACTGTATATGTGCAACGGACCTGTGACTGCTCTGATACCAGACTGATCTAGTCTGCATGGCCCAATCACCCTGGACTTAGGCTGTACGGCAGCAAATGCGGGATGTGGGGATGGGCATTCTCTGTGGAAGGGAGGGGCGTGCAGCTGCAGGAGCAACTGGAAACTGGTGTGTCTGAAATATAATTCCTCTGACTTTGGTGTCATGGGAGACGCTGCCTCAAAAGACAGTAGGGGTATTCGGCTGGTATGCAACATAATGAATCCCCAACAATCGGGGAGGACTGGAGGCAATGTCTGAAGACATGACCTGGCTCCCCACTTAAAAAAGAAGAAGTCCAGTGATGTGACCGGAACACATAATCAATGCACCTTTATGTCCTCACAGCTAAACGAACCTTCAACTTTGAGGAGTACAGCTTTTCTTTGAACACTTTGGAACAGGTACTGTGCTTTTAAAATGTACATAATGGCTCTGTTTGGAGTGGGAATCAGCCCCCCAAGCGGAAGGTATTGATGTGAATGGATGAAAGCCACATCCAGCTTCCGTGCATGGAGTGCAGCTTCTGCCCAGTTGGAACCGACTGCAAAACGGGAGTGCGTGGCCTGCCACAACCCGTGCCAGAGCTGTGCGTACAGAATCTGCTGTGGACGTGAACACTTCAAGCGGTGCTGGTGTAGTTCAAGCCAGCTCCTGGAAATAGCTTTGGGGATCACTGGAGGTAGGGAACCCCTCTCAGCCAGAGGGTTGAATTCTGTTTTGGAGAAGTTCTTCAGGTCCACCCAGTGATGGGTGATGCTGAAGGGAAAGTGGGTGGGGCCAAAAACAGTGGCCTGGCTTATTATGGTTAGACAACTCTTAGATGGCTGAAGAATCTATGTTTTTATTGTATCCCTTAGGTGTTCCTAGAACTCTGCAGGCAGCAAGAGTGGGATAATTGTGATGCAGCCCTGGGCACAACCTTTGAGTGGAAGCAATAGCAGGAGGCTGATGTCTAAGCTACAAGAGGCCTGTTCCAGGGGCAGGCATTTCCGGAAGGGGGGGCTGGAAGCAAGGGGGACACCAAGCAGCTGGGGCAGAGCAGCCCGTCTCCAAGTAACATCGTGCCTAGTCTTGTCCTTCGACTGGACGCCGTTTGGGAAAAGGACACTGCTGTTCATACAGTCCTCTGCATGCAATTCGGTCTCTTTTACGGATACCATATGAACCCTATGTGGAGACAAAATGTTTCTCTGGGTTTCCGCTAGTCCTTGTTTTTCAGGAAATGATAAATACTATATTTACTTCTGTAATAGAATATATAATACATAGCTTGGCATGTAACATTGTACGCTTGGTAAGTTGTCATAAGTGAAAAGTGCAAAAGTCTTGGCTCATTCAAAGGCTACTTACAAATAATATATCATGGTTATGGGGTTTGCAGGGGATGCCATATGAGGTGAGACTGAGGGAACTGGGTCTCTTCAGCCTGGAGAAGAGGAGACTCAGAGGGGATATTTTGGCAACATACAGGTATGTGAGGGGATGTCACACGGAGATGGGTAGAGACCTGTTCTCCCCTGCAGAGGAAGGCAGGATGCGCTCCAACGGAGCAAAGCTCAGGGAGCCATGGTTCCATTTAGATGGCAGGAAGCACTTCCTGACAGTTAGGACCTCGAGGGTATGGAATGGGCTTCCACGAGAGGTCGTTGAGGCTCCATCGGTGCGGGTTTTCAAAGAAAGGCTGGACATGCACATGGTGGGCATGTTGTGAGTGGAGCCAGCTGGTGCCGGAGGTCAGACTAGATGGCCTGGGAGGCCCCTTCTGACTCGCTCTCTTTCTATGTTTCTAAGGAATGGATGAAGACATTGCCAACCCTGGGAGGCATGTAGACACCTAGTGACATCTAGTGGGGGCACAAAATAATTTGTGCCCAACAGCGGAGCAGCCAACACTCCTGCTTCTCTCCCATCCCCAGGACAAGGTGTATGGAAGGCAGCTTATTCTGGGAGCTGAAGTGGAAGATCCCCAGCACCACTCGCACCTGGGAATCCAGGCTAGCCTGCATCCTGCCAGGCACCACTTGGGGCTGGAGGATCACTGGCCATTTGCTGACTTTGCACGGCAGCCCCAGTAGCTGCCCGGGGCTGCTCCGCCTGAGGCGACCTGGGCCTGCGGGCAGCCCCATCTGGCAGAGCCCAGCCCAGTGCAGCAATGGCCCACCAGCTGCCGCCACGAGAAGCAGCACAAGCCCACCCCCCTCCACTCCCGAGTGCTCTCAGCCTCTTGGGGACACCTGCCTGTGAGCTGGGCTTCTTTGCAGCCTCCCTGTGCCCACAGGGAGCATAGCTAGATTACAGCTTGGATTCAACGCATTGCATGGAACCTAGGGCTTGAACCAACATAACCTCAACCAGGAAATCAATGCCCCCCCCCCCCGCCATTTCATTTCCAAAGCACACAATCTAAATTTTGGGGAAAACAGGGTAACATATTAATTAGGGATCCAGGGAAAAGTGCAGAATGGGAAGATGCTTTCTCACAGTCTGGACACAAAGCAATAAATGGGTAGAGTAGGAAATCCATACGAAGAGCAAAGAAAAGGGGAAATACCATTTAGCTAGCAGGGACCTGTACTAAGAAAGCTTGCACGATCTCTCCTGGGCCTGCCTCAAGTTCCCTTTTCTCCTGGGAGACTGTTGCCAGCACTCATGAAAGACCCCACCACTTCCTTTCCCTGTATATCTCCCCCTCCACCCTTTCTGGGTGGAGATTTCGGAAGAATCACTTGACTTTTTTCTAGATCTGATAATGGTTCATCCCCAGCTCTGACGCAGAGGCCAAAGATCCCCACTGTTCCCTACCAGGAGATATGGACGTCCATACCTTTTGTAGACGGTGGTGCCTGGGCTACATGTGACCTCAGCCGGACGAGCTGCATTGGGAAAGGAGCTGCATTTCTGTCGTCAGGACTTGGTTGACATGGGATGGGTCTGGCCGGGCTGAGCGGGCTACTTCAGGCCGAGGCCGAATGCCTCTTTCAGCTTGCTCGAAGCTCCCTGAACAGGGTCTGCCTCCAGCCACACCAGTGGTAGGCGTGGAGCACTGAGGTGTGCTTGCAACACGGGCACCAGCAAGTGTGGACAAGAATTGCCTCATGAACTCTCTGTCAAGTCACCTAAACAATAAATCACATATCCCTGAGCATCTGTCTTCCCTGGTGCTTCCTTCTTTAAATACAGGTAGTTTCTGAAAGTTTGGTTGCTTCTGATTCTGGACTTTCAGATTTATCACCATACTATGGTACAATAATAATATTTTTTAATGATGTGTCTGTGTGCGAAACCTCTCCTGGGCAGGTTGCTAAGTGGTAGCAGCTAGAGAGGGAGTTTAAAAATGAGCAATTATGTGTTGTACTGCTATAGCACTCCTGCATCCATGCATGTTTTAACTCCACTACCATTTTATGTGGGTCCCTTTCAACCACTGCTGTGGTTACTGTGCTTTCTGAAAAAGCCCCTTTGGAAGTGTCTGCATGTTGTATGGCTAGGAAGTATATGAAAGAGAATCTGTGCCGAAGATGGACAGGGAAGGAAACGGAGGGGGCATCTGAAGTAACTGCACCAGAGGGGGTGGGGAGTAAATATTTATTTGTTAAATCTCTCTCCTTTCTGGAATAGCTGCATAGTCCTCACCTGGAAAAATGCTGCGATGGCCCATCCCACGCAAGTGGCTCCCCTCAGAGCAGGATGGGAGGAGGCTGAGGCACCACAGGGGCACATCCGATGTTAGCCGCACGGGGCTGTTCCCTACCCCACTGCGAAAAGCCTTGTCAGAGAGACAGCCAGCACAGCTCCTTGTGGGCCAGCGACAAGAGGCCATCGGAGTGCTGCTCCCATCCGTGAGAGAGAACAGCAATGTATCTCACAGTGTAGCTGAGGGTCTGAGCCACCTTGTGGCTGTCTAGATGCTGGCTATCACCCATCAGATTGCTCTGCCGACCCCCTAGAGCATTGCTGTACAGTTACCAAGGTGCATGTTCTCAAGATACATCGAGCTTTTGTTGACCTTTCAACATCAAGAATTGAATACCTGGCAGCAGAGCATCCAATAACAAGCATGCCAATTCCTTTAAACAATGGAGAATTCTTTTGAGCACAAGAAAATCTGCACACTTACTATTTTGGCAGAAAAGAAGAAAAAGTGGGATATAAATGCAATGATGAAACTGCAACCCAAAAGCCACTTATTTATCACAAAGTGCCAACACAATAAAACCTGAAAATTGCAGTTTTAGTTTAGAAAAAACTCATAGCCAATCCAAGCATGCATGCATATATACATACATGCATATATCCATCCATCCCGTCATCCAACCCTCCCTCCCCTTGGCAGCAGACTGTCCAGCCATGCGAAAGCCCGGACAAGCTGTGGCTAATGAGTCGCGGCTCGTGACATCATCGCCTGACACCTCCTTTCCGATCATGTGCATGGCCTCTATTTGCGCTGTTACCCGATGCTCGGCTGCTGGGGCGATGCTGGGGTGATTTGGCTCGCATGCCGACAGAGAGGGCTCTGCATGTCTGCTGTGGCACAGGTGCCATAGGGTCACCACCACTGCCTTAACCCTACCCTGGTGTGCTCCCCTAGGACTAATAGTAAAATACAGTTGTACCTTGGCTCACCAACTTAACACCTTCCAGGACTCTGGTCGTGACCCAAATTGGTTGTGTGCATTTGTACATACTTGCACAAACCTTTTTGCACAAGTAAAAACATTTACAAAGGTTCTGACGGTCCCACCAAGCTCTTGCAATCTCTATAAAAGGAGAGGAGGAAACTGCTGCTGTGAATTGAAATCAGATTTAAAGTTTCATGGGAAGGGCAGCAAGCTAGTGTCAGCTGTGTGCAAATACCATGCAGTGCTGGGCAGCTCTTGGGCAGCTGGCACTGGCAGTTGCCCAAACTTTCTTGATGAGGGAACAGCAAGGGGTTTGCTGGTCTTGCAGAGCAGGTCAGTTTCGGATCCCTGGTACCTGTAATGGGGGGAAATGACATGGCAACCCATGTGTGTTATGTAACTTTCATATCATCATTTTCTATGAGCTTACCTTATTTTACATTAATTGAACTGTTACAATGTTAATATAATTGTAAAAATAATAACCATGTATCATATACAGAAGTTGTTCTGGTTTCTTTGGCTATGGGATCATATCAAAATGAAATAAAGAATAAGGAAGTGTCAAATAAAACTTAAAGGTTGCAAATTTGGTATTCTACTGCCCCCTTTTGGCAGGACATATCAAGGACAGTGAGCTAGCCTGGGTTTCTTTTAGAAGGGGAGGCAGAGGTTCCTGTTAAGATGGAAGATTTGTAGCCCTCCCAAGCTGCATATGACAAAATTGTGATTATCACCCTTCTTTATCACCTTAGAATATAATTTATAATTTCAACCCAACGTGGGTCAAGATACAAAGAACCCTGGAGCACCTGGATCCTCATTCAGTGCACATTTTAATGCCAGTGTGACTTGAAAGGGAAATCTTTACACCTGAATAGTTTTACTGTCTAATGTCCATTTTAAAAATGGAAACTATCTTTCATCTCCTGCCTACACCCTTTCTTTCCAAATTCTCTCCCACATAACTCTCCTCCTTCAAATATGTGTTCCATGCATACAAAATTGCTGGGTTGTTTGTTTTCTCTTTTTTCCCCCCCCCCCCCCGCCCCTTTTTGATGCTGCTTGGGTGATTTGCTGCTGCGACTGCTGCTGTTGTTGTTTTAACCCCTCTACAGGATTGCTGCATGTGGGTTGCTGGCTGCTTAGATTCAGCTGGTTTTCCAATTTGTGCTAAGGATCATCATCATCAACAACAGCCATGCTATTGTCAAGGCATCCCCCCTCCTACTCTGGCCCCCATTTGGGACTTTGCAGCTACTAACCTGTTCTGCATGATGTAGCTATTGTTGGCAGGTCCAGTACGGGTTACCCACAGTAACCATTTTTTTTTTCAAAAAACCTTTGAAAAGTACCCATGGACTGTTCTAGGCTTTATTTTACCTTCAGTGGATTATTGCGTTGTCTGGATGCAGAAGACCAATCCCACCAAGGCGAAAGATCCATAGCCAGTGACTCAATCAGCACAAAACCACTCAGAGAGTCTCGGCTATTGGGCAGTATCAAAACAAAACAAAACAAACCTCGTTTGTGAACTAGCCATGACCACTAACAGGTGCCCCGCAAGCATCCAAGTAGCACTTGGAGGTGGCTGGCATTGGTTTTCCCCACTGTGATGCCCAACCAATTTTGTGAAGAAAAACCAACCCACAATGAATTGTT